TCCAATATAAAGTTCAGAAGGTAAAATAACTATCCTTTATAGTTGAACACTCCATTATTTAAATACTCCGTTATTTAAATGTTCATGACTGTATGCCGACATGGTAATTGTCAATAAAGTGAATTGAATTGAATTGAATTATTTCAGTTTGTTCATTAACATGTTCATAAACATAAAAACTATAAGAAATGTGAAAACTTGACTATGTAACTCATATTTCAATATGACTGTACCTCGATCTATATTGAGAAATTCAATGTATTATCAGCTCATGAAAAGATGTACACATTTGACCTTTATTTATACCCCCCCCTCAAAAAAAAAAAAAAAAAAACAAGAAAATCCTGTTCATATGACTTCTCGCTCTCAATTTTCACACAAATGCATAAAATAAAGGTAAATTAGCATATCTTGTATCGATTAAAATGCAACCAAAAAATTTACGGTGTCTTTGAATAAAAATTTCATGCTAAATTGACATATTAAAGATACTCACCTTCAATTAGCTATTTTCAAACTGTTTTCCCGTGGGTATTTATTTAATCGTATTTTATTTTCTTCTGTATAATAACGTTTGTATTCTATTATGACAGAGATATACAATGATGACTCGCTTATACTGTACTCTCTAACTGTTAGGAATAATTCATATTTCACGAGAAAGGGACGCCAAACATTTTTCAGTAAAAATACATTACACGGCGTTAGTCGTTTAATTTCTTTAAAATTTCAATTTCACGTTTTGTGAATAGTGCACAAATTAGAAAAATAAGTATATGGAATACTTTAATGGGAAATAAAGACGAACGAAGTGTAGTTATTTGTTTTTAGAAATTATATTGAAAAATAATAACGCCATTGTGTCCTCTTTGTTACCCCAGCAGTGTTTGTCGTGTGATTTTAAACTTATTTGACAACCGTATGAATTAGGTTTAATAAAAATAAATCCACAAGATACTGATGCACAAGTAACAGTTACTGGCATAATGCGCCGTTGCTTTATTCTTTAGTTTTTATAGAAAGTTGCACGGAATACCCGATTTCGCGGATTCAACGATACCCTAATATCGAGTATTATACGCGATTTCACGGATAATACCCGATTTCGAGTATTCTCTCCGACCTGTTTAATGAAACTTTCACAGAATCTTTATTGCATATTGCCCTTGTGCACCTCCTATTTTACTTTTTGATCCGACACATATCTTGGGTTTCCCGGCCACAGCAAATCATGGACTTTGCCATTATAAAATGTAACCATAATATAGGAGGCGGAGGATATCATTTAGTGAGCTCATTGCTCACAGTACCTCTAGTTTTTAATCATAATCATACAAACTCTACCTGTTAAAAATCAAAGATCAAAAGGAAGATCACTAGAGGTACTGTGAGCAATGAGCTCACTAAATGATACCCTCCGCCTCCCATATGAATATAATGGCAGTGTTGTGGGAAACCCAAAATATGTGTCAGATGCGTAACAGACGGACGGACATACCGATTACTATATACCCTCCCGCTTTTCAAGCGGGGGGTATAATAAATATGTTCTAATTTCGGATCAGACAGATTGTATTTTTCTTTCAAAATCTGCTTTTCAAAAAAAATTTAATTTTCCTACTCTAAATGTAATGCATTACAATAGTGTTATTAGTGCCATTGCAAAATGTTTTTAAAATATGGCAATTAAGAGAACAATGTTGAACAAAAGTTGTCTGCCTTATTTACCTTTTTATTTTGAATATATTTTTTCGAATACAAAATGTTCAAAAATCATTTACAATGTCATAAACAAAAATTGTTTGAAGCCTACAGCAATTTCAAAGTGGAATTCAGAGTTGTCCCCTCATGGAGTGAATGATATATGCACATAAGATGTTTTTCGAGTGTGTTTCAAGACAACAAATGATTCTTCAGTACAATGGCTTCAATACCGACTTCTTCATAGAATTCTTCCTGTCGGGTACTATCTTAAGAAAATTAATATAAAAACATCTGATTTATGTAACTTTTGTAAGGAGGATACTGAAACTATTCAACATGTATTTGTAACTTGTTATGACGTGGTGGATTTATGGAGAAATTCGAGTATGCATATCTATAGAACAACTGCTAAAAGAATCGGTTTTAATTTCAAAAGAGCAGAGCAAACACGGACCCCGAAATATCAGAGGTGGGATCAGGTGCCATGGAGGAGTGAGCATCCCCTGCCGACCGGTCACACCCGCCGTGTGCTCCTTGTCATGATCAGGAAATAACGGAAAAAATCCGTCGTCAATTCAGTGTATGAATAATGGACTAACAATTGGTATGAAAAACGTCAGTCAGCATTTCACTTAATGATAAATTGTATTTGCTGACAAGGTAATTTTATCGACCATAGAACTTACGAAATGATGATTTTAAACGAGACTGCTGATATTCTTGTTTTTCAATAATTTACCTCATTTTAGAAATTGTTTATACACAGAGCATGCTCTTGCGTATCGAATCAACTGAGATATATTAACTCTGTATGCAGGTGATGAAGGTATTTTGCTGCACAAGTAAGGGAAGTTGACGATAGAAAAGTTAAAGTCATCACGTTTATCATGTAGCTTGGTTGTTAGATTACCATTAGTGTCTTTTTCAAGTAAAATATCCAAGTATGAAACAGAAGTGTCGGGCTCTGTGGTATCTTTTATCTCAAGCTCACCAGGATATATCGTATGGACGTAGGAATGGAAATTACCATTATTAATTGACAATGCGTCGTCAATGTATCTAAATGTCGAGTTGAGGGCCACAGCAAGTGTTTTCCTCTTTTCACGCCTAAGATTTTGCATAAATTCTGCTTCATATGAATATAGAAATAAGTCTGCTAATAACGGAGCGCAATTTGTACCCATGGGATTCCAATAGATTGTTGGAATACCTGGTAAATGTATTATATTTAGCTTGTACCATATTTGGCAAAAATTGATTTTTGAACAAGTTAGCGTAGATTTCATTTAGCGTATTTCTTAATATTCTTAATGGAGTTTTATGAAGAGACTTACTTTTACATTTGACAGCTGACTTTTACATTTTAGTAATTTGAGTTTGTCTATGTTTAAGTTGCAAAAGTCGGTCGTCGATTGTAAAAGTAAGTCTCTTCATAAAACTCCAATAATGTTTATATGTTTAAGACATTTAGCGTTGTACTTAAATTAGCGGAAAAAAAAAACAAAAAAGAATATACCGCTAAATGTAATACGTTTACAGTAGTTTTCCTGATATTCACAATTCTAAAGTATCTTAGAAGTAGCAAGTATATCGGACTTTCAGCATCAGAATTATACATTTGAACCAGTTTTTACATAATTTTTATCATTATGTTTACAAAAAATGTACAATTTTTTATGTTGACATACACTTTTGTTTATTTATATCTCCTATCCTAAATGATATGGCGACCTTTACATTTCTTGCAATAATTAGTAAATTTAAACCATATTAAACGAAAATAAATGCAGTTTTTGTACTTTGAACTATTAAAATTGTGAGGGTGAGAAAACCTTAATATTACAGTATTTTTAAAATCCCAAACAACCAAAATGAATTCGAATTACCAGATCTTTATTAGATTCCGAAACTTGGTAAAAACCCTTACAAACAAAGATACATATCGGGTTCCAGTAAATGTTCAACCAAGCTTCTATCTTTACTCCTCACTAAGATATTAACTGTAGTGAAGGAGAAACTTCATGAGTACTGTGCAACAATATATTCAAGAAGCTCTGTTATTAGAAGACCCATTTTTGTATTCACATTAAGCAGAATTTATCCAAAATCTTACATATGAAAAGAAGAAAACACTTGTCGTTGTCTTCAACTCGACATTTAGATAAATTAACGACGTATTGTCAATTAACAATGATTGTTTCAATTATTAAGTCGATACGATATATTCTGGTGAGGTTGAGATACCACAGTCTGACACATCTATTTCATATTTGGATATTTAACTTAAAGAGACGGTAATGGTAATCCAAGAACCAAGTTCTGTGATAAACGTGATGAGTACTGACGACTGTAACTTTTCAATCGTCAACTTCCTTTATTTTCTGATGGAGCAATATACATGTACCTTCATCACATGCATGCGGAGTTTATATCTCTCAGTAGATTCCTTATGCAGGAGCATGCTCTAAGTATGTACAATTTATTAAACGAGGTAAATTATTGAGAAACAAGTTAATGAAACAAGAATATCAGCAGTCTCATTCTTAGTCATCATTTTGTAGGTTCTTTGATCGATGCAATGACCTTGTCAGCATCTACAATTAATCATGGAGTCAAATGCTGACTGATGTGTTTCATACTAATTGTTAGTCCATTATTTACACACTGACTTGACAACGGATTTTCCGTAATTTACCAATCATAATAGTGAGCTCACGGCTGGTGTGACTGGTCGGCAGAAGAAGCTTACTCTTCCATGGCACCTGATTCTTTCAAACCCTGATGTTTTGGAGGTCCGTATTTACTCTGCACCTATTTGTTTTCTTTTATGGGCTCTTGGGCTTGAATACTTTTAGTTATCTCCATATATTTCATAGACAAGATGATTTTATCACCATGTCCATGCAAGCACTTGTGCGTTAGTGTAATGCGAAAAACGACTAATTTTAATATACTTAATTTAGCCACCATTTATATTTCATACAGCAACAGTGTAACGTTTTATACTTTTTGATAGCATTCTTTGAAGGTTTGGCAGTAGAAAATACCAAGCCCAGTATGCTTGATATAATGAAGATTATCAGGAATAAGGCACCGAAAGTGGAGGGTGGGGCATTTAGAGAAATTCTGTAACGGTCTCCGTTCCAATTCAAACTAGAGAATTAATTTTAAGCAAGGAAATACGTTTCTTAAAACAGTGGGGAAAATAATGTTTTATTGTTTTTTCCGTGTGGAAGCAATTTGCAAAGTATGAAAATCTTCTTTATCATTAATTGAATAATTATTATTTTTTACAGACAGGTGAACTCTGATAGACACTTTTTAATCAGTAAACACGAAGGCGGACATTCATCTGATGTTGGGAAATTTTGGTTCGGAATATTTGAGACAAGAATTTATGATCTGCTGGGAGAGAATCCAAGCCTTCCAGCAATTTTATATAGTCCAGGTTCTATAGCCTCACTATGGAATAGCCGTAAGAACAAAATGCTACAAAGACAATATAAATGCTTTTTTGTGTAACCGAGCAGCAAGACAGAGGTTATATTTTCATGATAATTTTTTTAAGGAAATAAGGGAATTACTAGTACCTAAAATAACAAAGTGTTTAAAACTGAGTAAGTCAAAATTATAGAAATTATGAAAATAACACGAGATAATTTACCTACAGTTAACAAAAGAAAAATAACTCTGAAAAATTGTGTTCTGTAAACAATTCAAAATATTTACATTCGTTGTATTTTTCTATATACTAAGCCAACTGTGAAAATTATTTAAATTACCATTTTCGTGTATTCCTACGTGTAGGCGTAGGAATATACACAGAGAAACGTGCACAAGTTTACGTGACGTCACAATGAGGCTTCAGAGACTTTAGAAAAAAGCAACGAAATAGGGCAGCAAGAATTCAAATATTGAGTATATTTTTTATGCTTTATTAAGACATGAAAAATGTAAATATAAAAAGTGTTTTTTTTACTTCAGTATGAATTATTGGTGTGTGAATTACACAGACTTGCACGTAGGTATATTTTTCATGAAGCTCTAGCGTGCTTTATGAAATATGCCTACGTGACAAGTCTGTGTGATTCACACACCAATAATTCATACAAAACTTAAAATCATTCTTTAATTGAAATCTTACAGACTCATTATTATTTAAGTTACAACTTTAATTGCAATTATGCAATTAAGTAAAATATTTGCAATCAAAATGATTACTTAAATCGAATCTTTTAATGGCAAGAATTAAAACACATAATCAAATATATAAGATACATACCATAAAATGCATATGACTGACTCTGCATTAACTTCTTTACTCCTTGAAAGCGTATTACGGCTCTGACATACATAGGTTAAGAGCGGTAAGTTTATACTTAAAATGAAAAATGTATTATGAATGAAAAATAAGAAATAACCAATCAAAAAAGGACCAATGAAATCATAGAATAAAACTTCACTTACACCGTATACAACGGGTAACGCGGGGGAGTCGCTAAAAAGTAAGGGGGAGTCGTTTTCAACGTATGGGGGAGTCGATTTTCACCGCTTCGGAGTAAGAAGAGATGTGGGTCACGTCTTTTTTCGGTATATTGAAGATGTATATGCAAAAAACAACTCGCCCACGGAAGGTAGCAATAGTTAAGCTTTCTGTTGGTCATTTGTCCGGCTAGCATATACGTCTAGTTTTCTCAAACACTTCGAAACTATTTGACAGATTTCGTATTTACGTTGATTGAGTGGTTAAAACATGCATAGTTTGCACAATCTACGACTTGTGTAGGGATTATGACAGTTAAAACAGCAAAAGCAAACGTTAATCTTTCAATTGCAACTATTCACACTTGGGTAGACTTTATAAAAATTAATAATTAAGACATTTTCTCTTCAGACAGTAATGAGTGACGTACGGGGGAGTCGTTTCTGGAAAAGCACAACGCATAGGGGAGTCGCAAAATAAAGTGAAATGCATACCTAACTGGTGTTGTTTTTAGTTCAAGAAAATATCAGCAATATACATGTGCAATTGGAATATATATCTTGGGAGCACATGTGCTTGGGGACAAAACCCTTTCCTAGCTCAGTATGTAATTTTCTTATACATCACAAAAATTCAAAAAGAACACGAACCCTCACTTTCAACAATGACAGCCTCTCCATAAAAATCAGATTTATAATATGGAAATTTTTTAATCGGAAAAGTGAAAATCTCTGGCGCGTCATTCCCGCACCTTGACTTCTTTTTTCTTGGGGGGGGGGGGGGGGGGGGGTTTAGAAATTTTTAAACTGGTGTATGCTTTCAATTTGGTCCACATATAAATAATTTATTTTTATTTTATCATATAAGATAACACATCTTCAGGCACAAACGATGCATACTTAATGAGAATATTTGGGATGATCTGGGATTTATACAGTCATTACTACATGTATACATTCATAGACAGAATTCGAGGTCAACATGCGTTTTTTACGAACCGAGGAACCAAACTGTTTGCCCGAGGCTGTTAAGCCGAAAACAAAAAGTTTGAGGGGTCGACAAAAATGTCATGTTTAAACTTTGTTAATTCCGTCAAGTTCTGACAGTGACCCCACCCACACTGTGAAGTAAGCGGTGCAATATCTCATCGACAGGTCCAACATCTCACTCCACTGTCAAACAGATTTATTTGACCGCTCAGAAAAACAGTAGAAAGGCTTTACTTTTTTTAGTTATAATTTTTTTACAATAACAATTTTTCATGAATTAGTATGAAAAAAAAAATTATAAACAACTTAAATCTGAAAGAATTTGACAAACAAAAAAAAAGGTTGGTGGAAGAATGTTACAACAGAGTTTCTCAACCAAATTTTATCATAACACATTTGCAAATATAACAATGATTTAAATATTCTGCAACAAAACGTTGGAAGACCTTTCATACTACGCGCCTGTTTCGTGAAATGTTTTTCAGAATTGTTATTATGGGTAAGGGCAGGGTCTGAAGTTCTAATCATAATCAGAGCTATAAAAATTCACAAAGAAAATTATTAAAATATCATGCCCTCATCCCAAAATACATGTATACTCTTTAAAAGAGTTTCATGTTATGTGTGAGGGAAATTGGCAAAGCTGAAGTCCCCTTTCCTTCACCCCCTGCATATTTGTAGTTTCAATATTTTTTTCTTCGACATTAACTGCCTAACGGTATTTAATTTAAAATGCTGAAAATTTTGGAATATGCCACTGATCATCCGTGCAGAAACCATATCAAATGTTCACGTAGTAATGTATATGAAGTACTGGTACATGTATATACTCATGCACTTCACAATAAGAAACGATAAATACATGTTTTTATTCTCACATGTACATATTGCTTATATTGATCTTTATTCATGTTTCATTTTACTAAAATTATAAAATTATCAAAATAATTATGTATGGAAGCATTTAGCAAAGGAAAAGTCGAAATTTAAAAAAAAATAGTACAATTCAATTGTGTGACTCCCCTATGCGTTGTGTTTTTCCAGAAACGACTCCCCCCTACGTAACCATTACTGTCTGAAGAGAAAATGTCTTAATTATTAATTTTTATAAAGTCTAGCCAAATTTGAATAGTTGCATTTCAAAGATTAAAGTTTGCTTTTGCTGTTTTAACTGTCATAATCCCTACACAAGTCGTAGATTATGCAAACTATGAATATTTTAACCACTCGATCAACGTAAATATGAAATATGTCGAATAGTTTCGAAGTGTTTGAGAAAACTAGACGTATATGCTAGCCGGACAAATGACCAACAGAAAGCTTAACTATTGCTACCTTCCGTGGGCGAGTTGTTTTTTGTATATACAACTTCAATATACCGAAAAAAGACGTGACCCACATCTCTTCTGACTCCGAAGCGGTGATAATCGACTCCCCCATACGTTGAAAACGACTCCCCCTTACTTTTTAGCGACTTCCCCGCGTTACCCGTTGTATACGGTGACTTAGGCAACCTAATTCAGGTGCGTAAACGAAGTTGTGGTTATATTTCTCAAAATGATATGAAAAAAATTAATAAAAACGAATAAACACATACACAAATAGAAATCATAATATCACACTTGCATGTTAGTTTAAATATTAATGTCACACTAGATGCAAAAAAAAAACACAGCGCGTAGCCAGGTTACATGTACGTATTTTTTTTTTAAATAGATGTGACGTTGATACCTGTTCTAACAACCAAAGAAAGACATTTTATTGTTTATATTTATATCTGTATAAATAGACATTTAAAGTCGGGTTAAAAAAAATATTTGTATTACTGATACGTCATAATGCGTTCCATTGAAGAAACAGCCACTGGTCTAAAAAATTTTAATAAACATCTATCATTGAAACGATTTATGATCTGTTTCTTATGTCTTTTGATAGTGTTATTATTGTAGTGAGCGCAACGGCAAAAGAACATGATTATTTGAGCATAAACTGTGCGTCTCAAGGGACTATTCACATAAAAAGAGCTACCTATGGGTTAGGTGGTCGGTGGACTTATGGGACATCTCAAATGAGAAGCAGGTGTAACTACATGGATGCCTGTTCGGTAAAGGCCGACAATGCTATATTTTCTGATCCAGCCGTAGGAGACAAGAAATTTTTAAATGTAGATTACACATGTGGTAAGTTGGCAGTCTTTTTGTAAGCACCAGTTTTTCTATCTCAATACTTTTTTACTCTGTTGCTTCCTCTAATTTGTTTCTGTTTTCTTCTTATAAGGACCTAGTATCGCTGATGAAATCGGCATTTATGTAAAAGCAGAAGGTAAAGTAGTTCCTTTCAGAAGGCTAGGAGGTTAAAGATATGTATGCCGTGTTAAACAGTATTTTTGCACAGCTGAAACCGAACAAAAATTTCTGAAGTATGATAAGCTATCAAAAATGAAGCATTCTTGCAAATTCGACGAAATATCATTCGGTATTAACAAAGTTCTGGTCGGGAAAAGAACACGATATTCTCATGCATATTTATAAAGGACTGACGTTTATTCTGGATCTGCGCATGTGCGCTGGAAAAGCATCGCGAGAATCATCAGGTCGAGGAAAATATTTTTTGTGACGTCTGTTCAGTGAGGAATCAATATGACTGACAAATAGACCAATCAGCCCAATGAGTTGCATTTAATGCATTTATGGGTTACTACATAAAATACTACATGTGTTTTTCGAAAAGGCTAGTTTTTTAAATCGCTCTCGGAAAGACTTGATGCATTTTTCCAAGCATTTACACGCTTAATGCATTATGTACATTATTTTCTACTAGTCCCAGGCTCATATTTGCATACAAATGATCAACAATGATAAAAATTAAAGTTTTCCCCACTCCATTGTAAAGGTCCGTTTGTTTAGAGTTTCCCCGTGCTGTACTGCTAGTGAATAGACAATTGCACGTGATTATTCCTCCGTACAAAAAGCAACCAACTCTGAGGTGTGCTCATGTATTGACAATCTCTAACTCACGTGTTTGTTACAGTAGTAAAAACGTAGTAGACCATCATGCTTTTCGGTTCATTCACGAGATTGGATCATTGTTTGCTGTGAGCATGCGAGACCACGTCATCATTAATATTTCAATAAGAGGCGGTTTATTATCCGACTTGGAGAGAAAATAATTTTTACAAAATAATATTTCATAACTTTTAAAAAGTGATGGAGTGGAACTGTCTTATTTGCAGAAAGTAAATAACTTATATAACTTGATGAGACACCACATATATTTATTTCTTTTAAAATAAAACACTAAACGGCATATATATCTTTAACAAAGTATTTTTACTAACCACCAGATATAACTAGATATAACTTAAATTTTGGGATATGATATCTTAAGTTGTCAACTATCATTTGGCAAAGAAAAATTTCATAAATTTTAGTTTTAAAATTTAGTCATTTTGTTATAGCTTTATATAGAGCTCTTCTTCTAGAGGAGATCAAAATAGTCCACGAAGCCCCTTTAACAGGTCGGAGAGAATACTCGAAATCGGGTATTATCAGTGAAATCGCGTATAATACTCGAAATTAGGGTATCGTTGAATCCGCGAAATCGGGTATAGGAGGTGTAAACACCTAATAAAACTTAAACAATGGGAGTTAACTTTCATCTAGATACACATGTTTTCTAAAGGTATCACTAGCCATGTAAGAATTTGGGCGTCAAGATTAATGCGCTCGGGACAACAAATACCCGTGGAGCTCAGTACATTTCATGATCTGCACACAAAAAGGCGTTCGATTTGCTTTATATTTTTCCTTATGTTGAAAGTATATGCATCTTGCTAATGTTCATTCCCAACACAACAGAATTGTTAAGTATCAGAATTCGGGAATTTATCATAATTCCACATCAACACGACAAACATGAACAATTTGTAAATAAATCAAATTATACGGAAACACATTTCACACACCAGATATGATGCCATGTATAAACAAGGGATTGTCTATCGTATCTAATTATGAGTCATTAATTACTTTCACATTCATCTTGTGCAAAAAATCAAATTTTTTAATGAATGTATAAATAATGTAATGATAAAAATGGAGGGGGGGGGGGGGCTAAAGGCTTCTTGACCACCTCTGACAAAACAACCTCGACTGTGTTCTACATGTGTCCAAGAGACCTCTCTTTGAATGTCACGGTCGGTTAAACTCGGTCATATAATTTTAATCGTAGGGAAGATTTATTCATCAAATAAAAATCATATACATTGTAGGTAAACAAAAAGCAACCTGTTATTTTCTAAAACAATATAAGACTACAAGTAACTAGAATTCATGTTTATTTTTTAAACACATTTTTTCATTATAGATGAGTATTAGGAAAAGTTATTGCCATGAGTAATACGTATCATAGATAAAATAACTAAAAGAAAACTGTGACATATTGTCTAGAACCAATCAGATAGTGCGTTGTATTAGCATATTATAATGAGGTATAAGATAGCGATATAAAAAAAATATAGAAAGTAAAGAGGTAAAATTTACCCTGTCTATCAAAAAGTATAATAAAGAAAGGAAGTGGCTGCGATTTTTATGAAATTTTAATGTCTGATGAGGAATTATATTCCCAGAAAGTAAGACAAGTCTTTCCAAGGCAATTGAACACTCCATTATTTCAGTTTGTTCATTAACATGTTCATAAACGTAAAAACTATAAGAAATGTGAAAAATTGACTATGTAATTCATATTCAATATGACTGTACCTCGATCTATATTGAGAAATTCAATGTATTTTAACTTCATGAAAAGATGTACACATTTGACTTTTATTTATAACCCCCCCCCCCCCCAAGAAAAAAAAAACAAGAAAATCCTGTTCATATGACTTCTCGCTCTCAATTTTCACACAAATGCATAAAATAAAGGTAAAATAGTATATTATGTATCGATTAAAATGCAACCAAAAAATTTACGGTGTCATTGAATAAAAAATCCATGCTAAATTGACATAAAAAAAAAAGATACTCACCTTCAATTAGCTATTTTCAAACTGTTTTCCCGTGGGTATTTATTTCATCTTATTTTATTTTCTTCTTTATAATAACGTTGGTATTCTATATTGGCAGAGATATACAATTATGACTCGCTTATACTGTACTCTCTAACTGTTAGGAGTAATTTATATTTCACGAGAAAGGGACGCCATACATTTTTCAGTAAAAATACATAACACGGCGTTAGTCGTTTAATTTCTTTAAAATTTCACGTTTTGTGAATAGTGCACAAATTAGAAAAATAAGTATATGGAATACTTTAATGGGAAATAAAGACAAACGAAGTGTAGTTATTTGTTTTTAGAAATTATATTGAAAAATAATAACGCCATTGTGTCCTCTTTGTTACCCCAGCAATGTTTGTCGTGTGATTTTAAACTTATTTGACAACCTTATGAATTAGGTTTAATAAAAATAAATCCACAAGATACTGATGTACAAGAAACAGTTACTGGCATAATGCGCCGTTGCTTTATTCTTTAGTTTTTATAGAAAGTTGCACGGAATACCCGATTTCGCGGATTCAACGATACCCTAATATCGAGTATTTTACGCGATTTCACGGATAATACCCGATTTCGAGTATTCTCTCCGACCTGTTTAATGTTATTTTTGAATACAGATTTTTGAATACAGATTTGTATCGAGTATAATTTAAGATTAAAAAAGATGTTTGTTTTTTTTTTTTTTAGATCAATCCAAAATACAAAACTGTGTGGAAATTGACTTGGACTGCTATCTCTCTCCACATGGTCATTGCAAAAGATGCCACCCGGCGTTACCTGTGGTACTGTACAATGGGAGCAGAGAGTGTGCCTGTCAGTAATTAACCTAAATAATTCCAATTTTATGCTTTTGGAGAGAATACACTACTAAAATTATTTCATTTTCATTTTAGGGTTATGTTCTCAGGAAAACAGACAGTGCTGGCCCGGGTCATGTGGCTCTGATAATGTCGCTCACCATTGTCAGTGCGACGAAGGATTTTCTACCGTAAAAAATGCAGATCAAGCAAAATGCATAAGTGCGAAATATTGAAATATTCTTTTTTTCATTTGAACATCGAATTTTCTGTGAGCAAATTTAATCCGAGTGTGTTTATTTTCTATTTATGTTTCAGTGACCCGCAAACCAACTATTGTAACCTGTTTCGTTGGTATACATGGAAGAAACGGAGAACACAGCATTCTGAAAAAAATAAATTCGTCTTCAGCTTGCCAAGACCAACGAGACAATTTCATAAAATTTCAGGCTACAAAGACAGATTTTACCTTACAATATACATTTACCATCAAACCAACCCACCCAAAGCCAACGTTCATAACAGAGTATAAATTTGGAATAGGAGGTGGAAGTCTTTCTCTGTACTGGAAACGAACCGTAAAAGGTGAATGATATGAATGGTTTCCTTTTTAGATTAAATCATTCAAATTAAGGAAATGATCATTGCAGGATTAGATAGTATGTAATACATGATTAAATAGAATATTGAGAAATTGCATATGATTATTTTAATGGCCGTTTATTTAACTTGTATTAAATAATCAAGGACATTTAAAACATATTAATAACGAACAGTGATCGGTCTCAGAAAGCAAGTAATCAAATCAATGAGCAGGGCAAAATCGCGGACCTCTTGCAACAAGATAGGTTAAATCAGTAGCCCAAGACAAGAAAGATTTCCCCATTGACCGGGTACACCCGCCCGTGAGCCTTACGTATTGATCAGGTATACGAGAACTCGGCAGCCAAACCCAGTACAAAAACATCAATGGTATAATAAATGTTTTAAGCCTGCCCAACAATATACAACTCACCAAAAGGCTGTACAAAATGTATTTACATACAAAGTCTTTAAAACGATCATAACATTTGTTAAAAGCTTACTGAATCCGTAAATTCTTGTAACAATAACTTATTTGTCAGTGGTGTTTTAATTGAAAAAAAGATCGTTTTCAGAGCAATCTCTTCCATATCTAATCATATGGAAGATAAATACCATAATCAAAATATACAGTTGATATTAAAATACGAGGGGTGATCAAAAAGTTCGCAAACTATCTCTATATCTACAAAACCACAATTCAGATTAGAAAAAAAAATTGGTACAATTGGTACATATGTAGCCATACATAAGTTCTATAAATAGCATATGCTGAATAAAGCTTTACTCCTTGTTCGTGACGTCACAGTGTGAAAATGACGTCACTATGCAGGTCACTTGTGACGAAAAATGGTTTTCTCAGTCGTACTCGTTCAACAAACGACTGTAGAATTTATGGTATATCTTGGAAATTCCTTTGAAGTAGCGTTTAATAATTTGCACATAGTTTTATAAGACAAATGGCTTCTTATAAATTCCATCAATGATTGGATTGATTGTTTTAGTGAAGGAAGGCAGATGATTAAAAATGATGCTTGTTATTTTGCCCAGTGAAAGCAACTTTGAAAAGAGATGTGTTTTTAATTAAGCAATATAGCTATGAAAGACCTCCAATTTACTCTTTGAAAAATAGCTGAATATCCTAACAATAATATAATTATTGAATACCTAAGATATCGTTTACTTCAAATTTTAAACATATTAGATATGATAAAAAGGAGGCACCCATTCTCTATCCGCCTCGAATAAACGTCTCTCCCGAGGCAGAAGATTTGGGTTTAGATGGTCGCCATGCTTATTTTTGGAAAGGATATTCTTATCCACCCATTCTGTTGCAGAGAATTGGTCATTTCTGACAAATTAACTGTTTTTGTTATAAAAATTAACTTGCATGGAAAGAAATATAAAACTCAGAAAAATCTTAAAGCTTTTGTGACAGAACGCTACGGAGGGAGTCACGTAACCGGCTACATCACGTGATTCGCGCATGCGCAGAACGATGGCAGATGTGCATTAAAATCGGAGAGGATTAATTTAAAATATAATCAATACTGAAACCAAATATTTTGTCTTTTTTGGAAGATAATTAATTAGTTCGCGAACTTTTTGATCACCCCTCGTATTACTTCGTAAATATGGAAGTTTACCATACAGTTTAATTTTTACATAGAATCAAATAATAAGGAATTTATATTTTAGAATCAAGACAAATGCTATTTGGTGAAAGACTCGCTGACCACGTCGTGGGAATTAACCGTCTTGAAGATACTGTCAACGTTAAGAACAACGATACAACATTACCAAATATTACCCTTGAAAATGGAGATGGGTGAGTTACTGTTTATTCCTGAATCGTTTAACATTACCATTTCTGTAGAATGATAAATTCTACTTATAGAAGAAAGAACATAATATGTGAGAGTAATGTGTCTGCTTTGTTTATCTTTTAATCGTTTGTCTATAAAAAAAAATTCAAAACGCCACACTTACACTTATTTTGGTTTCAGACCTCACAAAAAAACTGCATAAAGGGCCCTTATATGGTCGCTATATATATGAATTTCAGCTAAATGCTAATATTTCAAATTGCTACTCCTTAAACAAAATTTGTCATAATTTCATATGGATAACGAACAGTATTCAAGATCAAAAGTCCATAAAACAATACAAAATAGGAGCAGAACAAACACGGACCTCTTAAACATCAGAGATGGAATCAGGTGCCATGGAGGAGTGAGCATCCCGTGGCGACCGGTGATACCCGCCGTGTGCTCCTTGTCATGATCGGGAAATAACAGAAAATCCGTCTCCAATTCAGTGTATAAATAATGGACTCACACTTATGAAAAACGTCAGTCAGCATTTGACTCCATTATAAATTGTATTTGCTGACAAGGTCGATTGTAATGACTATAGAATTTACAAAATGATGACTTAAAACACGACAGCTTACATTCTTGTTTCATCAACTTGTTTGTCATTAATTTTCTTCATCATAGAAATACGACTTCTTTTAACAGTAAACAACACTTAAATACATAGCTGTGTATAGTACTTTTATTTGCAAAGAAAGAAATGATGTTGATGTTGCTGATGCAGATGATGACGATGATGATGATTTTGATTTTAAACATGGATCAATATTTTTTTCACATTTATAATCCCATTTTGAATTAGATTTTATAGTATGGAACATAATTGTCAACTTTTTTTCATTAGGCTTTGCTATACGTTTTTGGCTGTTGGAAAAGGATATCTTCAAACCACAGTTTTACATGATCCGAACAAGCCACTACCTAGAGAGTACTACAATGAAACGGTGACAACAAGAGAATTATGTTTTTGGTTCGACAATTTACAACCTCTTCATTGTAAGGTCACTAGAGAATGTAACAATTTAGACGTTATTCAAATTCCAAACTCAATAACAAAGTCGCCATTTGTTACAGTTGGAATAAAAGGTTGGAAAGATATGGATAATTTCAAAGGCAAACATATAAACGCATCAGGAATATCAGAATACGAAATAACTGTCTATGGAATACATGGTGATGGTGCTTTGTTGAAAGCTGATATTTCAGCTGATAAAAGTAATACAAGAACATCAAACACACCAACGCCTATGCATATTGAGTTATCTACTTGTGGACTTTACGAGATCCACCTTGAAATTAAAGATAACTCTGGAGAAGGAAATGTTCAAATAGCAAGAAGATTTGTGCTATTTGACAATTGCTCTGATGTTCATAAAGATCCTCAAAAGAATCTTTTTATTGCGACGGCAGATCTTAGTTCTAGCAGAACCTGGCAAACACAGAAAACTGAACTTTGCTTTGACTGGACCGGCCGATTTTATAACACTTTACACAAAAAGACTAATCTTCTCAAACCGATTGAACGAAAATCTTTAATTGCAGAGGAATACGAAGACAACGAATATCCCTTGCCCAGAAATGGCACCGTCAATTTAGACGGCATTATAGAGTTTAATTTCACAATAACTGTAAATGGAAATAAAAGAATTATAAACCAGATGCATGAAAATGTAATGATGCCGAAACACTGTACCAACTTGACTCTCCTGGACGGGGATTCTGTTTCTGTTGATGTTTTTGCTACTGACATAATGGGTAACTCTAATAACGACTCGGTTACGGTTCATATAGACACCTCTGTTCCAGAAATTACCGACATGGGCTTAAACAATGGCGATTTTAAAGGACTTTTTGTTCACAATGCTATTGAGCTATCAAAAATGAAGATGATTTTAACTATTCAAGACCTCCATAGTGGACTGAGGTCCATTCAGTGGTATTTTGGAACAACGTTAGGTGAAATGGATATTGGGAACGGATCTTTAGCAGTAAATCGTCTACCTAATGGCGTACGTAATATTATTAGTTATTATAGTGTGAGGGCAGTAATTGTATTTACTTGAACAGTTTTAACTTACACGTATAAAAGTTTCAAGCCAAGCAGTTGCTAACCAAGAAATTTTCTTGAACATGTACATTGTACTTTAAATTGTTTCTAAAAGTTGATAAAAATCAATCTTTTATGATATTATATGGATCATCGTTGGGGGCCGTATGGGAGAGGATTTGTGATAGGGTTTAGGGTGAGGGTGTGTTTATGTGTGTAAGGGTGTGTGTGCTGCTTATATGCTTTCTCATTTTTAAATTTGTTTGAATACATTAATAGTCATCTATTGAAATATTCATTTGGGCATCATTTCAGAATGACTGTAACAACTATACAAAGTGTTATTGTCCATCACTTGGCCCCTGTGAAATATCAACATACAGCATAGATATGTCAAAACTGATGCACAACAATAAGAACATTGGACAGCACAATAGAGATTACTTTTTTACTTTTGTCGTCACAAACAACGCCTTTTTGCGAACTATTGATCATGTGGATATCCTCGTTGATGAATCGGCCCCTGTAAAAGGAGTGGTTATGGAAGGTGCCCCGGAAGAAAAGGATAAAGATTTTACCAACGAAAACAATACCCTTTTAAACTGGAATGGATTTATCGACCATGAGAGTGGGATACGATTGTACCAGGTAGTCTTGTTCTCAAGATGCCTCGGATCGTATGAAATTTTAGATGTTGAACTAAATGAAAGCATGGTTGCTGTAAATACAACAAAAACGTCTATTCGATTTTATTTCCCAAAGAAAGGAAGGTATGTAGCATCCGTGATTGCATTCAATAACGCAGGTGAACGTTCCGATGTTGCATGTTCTGATGGTATAATGTATGACTTGTCCCCAGTTCAAATTTTTAATTTGACTGGTCAAAGGTTTACAACAAGGAAGGGTATAGCATGTGATGAAAACGACAATCCTTTTATATTTTGGATAATCTGTCAAAGATATCATTGAAGAATTCTTCGCGGTGCACTCAAATTTGTAGAAATTTTACATTTCCTGGGTTTATAAAAAATTTACCGCAAGTTTCCAATGAGATGCAGATGAGATATACTCTGAAGGAATGTGTGAAAAGGTCCTCCCTTCAACAATCGAGAAATTTATGTTCCTTCCGATAAGATCCAAGTTTCATGGGAATTTCGTGATTTTGAATCTCAACTAGATGACTTTTTTGTAGGATTTGGTCAATCAGATTCGGAATATCTTAGTCCTTCTCTTCTCTCATACACAAAAACATTAGGTAGACCAAGATATATTAAATATCATTCCGGGTTACGAAGTGCAGAAAAATTTTGGATGTATATCAAAAGCATAAACAAGGCTGGAGTTGCGGAAACTGTTAGAGTAGGACCAATGATTATTGATTCTACACCAGTTGTTTTTGTTAAAGAACTAGACTTGGTTATTGAAAATGGAAATATTTATATTGGATGGCAAAATGATACATTCATTGATCAGGAAGAGATAGATCCAGTGAAATCTATTCTGTTTCGAATAGGTAATATATTTCAAATAAAATTAATTTCTGTTCGGTAATTACGTATTTTCAGTTTCTGCCTTTAATATCATTTGAAATATTTTTTCTCTCTTAGGTAAGGGATCTAAATTCGTCACCCCTTTTCTGCAGCATTATAGTAAAAATGATTGTCCACGATCTAACATGGCTGACTGCATTATATACCCTATTCAACGTCTTCATCTCTCAAAAACTGAGAACTCGGCCGAGTATTTGGTAGAAGTAATAGTTACTAACAAAGCAGGTCACATTGCGAGTGCAAAGTCAAAGACATTTCGGATTCCCTCTCAAATTCCTCCCGGACCGGGTATTGTTATTGATACTGATTCTTCAGAGTTTTCCGATCTGGATTATCTACTGTATCCATCTAAACTGTGTGTAAAATGGAAGGGATTTGAACACCATGAAAATATCACGTTTGAAGTTGGAATCGGAACGAGAAAGGGTAAAGATGATGTTATTCGTTATACACAATCGTCTTCAAAAGAAAACCATTGTTTCGACACAAATGTCCTCGAACCTTTTGTGAAGTATTATTCTCTCGTAAAAGCCAGTTCCTACGGAGGAGACACCACTGTTTCTTCTGATGGAGTAACATTTATTGATGAGAAAAATTTAACATCAAGCATTCAAGTATATGATGGTAAAGGATGTCCTAAAGACACTTCCAAAAATATCATTTTAATTAAGGTAGACTCTATGAAAGGATTTGAAGTGACATTCAATGAAACATTGAAAATTGGTAAAATATATTCATTTGTTTTCAACATATCAACTATTTCAATTAACTCCTCAGACGCGATGGTATTGAAAACAATCACAGAACTCCACCGCAAAATTGTTATTATCATGGCAAAATCAAAGTCTCTTAAATTTTCCACAAAATCGGAGACTGCATTTGAAATCAGTTTTTACCAATGTAATTTGGACAAAGACTTCACGGATCAAACAGATGGTGTCATGCTACATTGGGCAATGAGACGGGATGATATAATTCAACCTACGAGTTATATTGTAAAGCTTCAGAGAAAAAATCGAGGGTCTGAGAGTAATCTTATTTCGATGAGAGAACAGTATAGTAAGGTTACTTCTGCTTCGTTTGAAAACGTTAAATTAACCGAGGAAACCACTTACTTTGTAGAAGTCTCCCCGTGCTTTGGTCATGTCTGCCTAAATTTCACTCCCTCGGATGGGTTTGTGGTTTGCAAAGAAAATTTACAAATAGAATTTAAAGAAGCCACACTAAATTTTTCTGGTAAACACAAAATTCTAACTGCAAGCTGGGAAAAACCAATCATAAAGGAACAAAAAATACAACTTGAAAGATGGACACTTTCTTTGGACGCGATGGCAAGAGACCTCCTCTTAAATTGGACCTTCGTTTTAAATGGGGAAGAGGTAAACTATTCTTACTTTTATTCTAGTCGTTGGATATTCCCTTTATTTTGTACAATTTACTTAAAATAATTTCCCTTCCAGGTAAATCAAGAACTCGATAATTTTATACCCATAGAGAGAATTTATTTCTGTCTTCAAATTTGGACAGAAGATGAAAACTGGTTTCTTCAGTGTACTTCTGTGACTGTGATGAACAATCCTGTTGTAAATAATCTTAATGTTTTAGACGTGGATCTTAATACAATTAATAGAAGCTTGGCTGATTTAATTTCTCGGGTATCGTTCAGTAAGAATTTAGGGAAGCTACGGCACACAATCCAAGATCTTGAAATTGATTATTGTACACCTGATGCCAAGATGTCGGTTCTCGTGCTGGGGCATGACGAAGAAGATTTGGACGCATTCCTTATGACGTCACCAAACACGCCGGAGTCTGTAGTTGAGTGTAGCAAACGGTTAGACTGTCTGTCAGCAGCGGATGTCAACAAAGGAATAGCAAAGTTCACAAACATACCACTAACTCATGGAACAATTTTGTTTTCTTGTATTCGGGGCAAGAATGACTCGTATGGCTGTAGCGATGGTTTTTTTGTGGATTCCACGCCACCTCGAGGTGGCCAAGTAACCATAGAAGATCATCATGGATTTGTCACCTCCCTTTCAGATTTAACACTGATTATTGAACCATTTATTGAGGATGCCAAACCTACAGGGGAGGACACTCTTTCTCCTATAAGCTATTACGAATATGGAATTGGTAAAAAACAGCTAAAATTAGATTTGGAAGAGAAACGTCGCAATTTCAAAACTTTTTTTTTAAAATGGCAATAAAATCCCCCCCCCCCCCTCAAAAGTAAATTTATTTAAAATCATATCATTCTTTTAGGTACAGTGGCAAGAGTTGATGATGTACTGGTCTGGCAGAAGACGGCAACACATGGACCAATGCGAATCCGTGAACTTAGTCTTTATCAAGGAGAGTCCTATTACCTCAGTGTTTCTGGTATTTAATTTATATAATTTGAAAAAATTATAATTTTATACAATACATGGTATTCAATATTTCTTTCCTTTGGGAGAAGGGGGGTGTCAAACTAATTTGAACATGTTAGAAACTGATTTCACGAATAATTTATATCTAGTCTTAATGTTGATGGAAAGCGATAATCAATCTTATTTATTACTGTATTTTTAAAGTTCTTTTTTTTTCAAAATTAGAGAAAATGCGTAGGGATAATTTTTATCATACGTAATTTTTTGATGCTCGGTTGTTTTATTTGGCCCTTTATTTTCTTAGCTACAAACAGGGCAGGACTAAAAAGCGCGTACGTCGTAACCCAGTTCACAGTGGACATTTCTCCTCCCGATGCTGGTAAACTTTATGTAGGTGATGTCATGCAGGACTACTACATATCGAATCATCCTATAATGGTCCACTGGCGAGGATTTGCAGATGATGAAAGTAACATTATGGAATTCGAGTGTGGTCTCGTATCCCACAATGGGGAAATCATCGTACCACTCACTCATGCAGATGGCGATTCAATGATTTTTGATAATGTTAAAAACCTGGTAGATGGTCACTCATACAGAGCAGTCTTAAAGGTTTGATACTTGCAGTTCTTTTAACAAGAGTTATATTGAGTATCGCTTATACTTGTTTAGCCGATCAATTCCTGATTAAAAATAGTACATGCAATCCTATATGTTCCGATTTCTGAATGATCTTTTTACATGTAGTCATCATATTTTTAGATAACTAATCATGCTCTCCTGTCTTCGATTGTGTATTCTCATAATTTTACCGTGGATGTCTCTCCAATTCATCCAGGAACAGTTTTTGACGGCTTTGAAATAAATACGGTAATGTTCAACTATTCAACTCAAAATTTTAATTCTTGTAAAACGCCAAGATAAACAACTCGTATATAGGGTGGATAAGTATTTACAGAATAAAGATAAATAGACTCTTGAAACGTTAAGTGTTGTCAACTATAGATATATTTGAAGATAACATTCATTGTTCGTTTATTTCCATTAACAAAGGACGAAGATTACCAGACAAGTATGGATGTCGTTTGTGCCAGTTGGAACGGATTCAGTGATCCTCACTCAGACATCGTAGCTTACCAGACGGGTCTTGGTACAAACCCAACTTTTCCTAATGTAGAGCCACTTAGAGATGTCAGTCTCCGTCAAGGTAACCAAACGAGTACATGTATTAATCTTTTTCTTTCTTTGTACATGTAAAGAGATATGCTTGGGTTCCTTCAATCTAGGTTCGGACCTAGTCTTTGATAAAGCCATAAATCAATTAAACAATGAACTACAGAATCGGTTTACTGTAATTATAGAATCAATATATCTTGAAGGCTACATAATCGTTGTAAAAAGATTTTCAATGTTATATGTAACTGCGTTTATCTGATTTAAAAAAACGGACGTACTCAAACTTGTACATTGAATAATGTTTTGTGATAATATCCTTTTTATCCTTAAGATTACTGTTGGAAAATTAGTTTGACACCTGGACAGAAGTACTTCACGTTCATTAAGGCCTGTAATAGAGCTATGCTTTGTTCCACATCGGTTTCAGATGGTATAGTTGCGGACAATTCTCCACCTGTTGCTGGGATAGTCTACATAAAAGGTGTTTCAGGACGCATGGCATATTTGCATGATAGGTATGTTTTATGTTTTCAAGCATCAGTCTTAATTCTGATTTATGAATATAGACATTTTGTTCTCAATTTATTTATTTTTATGAATGTTACAGAACGTCAATAACGGCATCTTGGGTAGGATTCCAAGATCCACACTCATCTGTTGAACACTTCGAATGGTGTATAGGAACGACGAAAGAAATTTGTGACATATTACCTTTGAGAAATTCTTTCCTATCCAATGATGTATATCTTCCATCTCTGTGGCTTCCTTTAAGAACTGATTTATTTGTATCCGTAATGGCGTACAATAATGTGAATCTCACTACCAACATTAGTTCTCATGCATTTAGAGTAGACGACACACCGCCCAAAGTCATATCACAGCCAAAAATCCACACCTTCAAAAGTCCATTAACTGAAGCAACACAAATTCAATATGATAATTCTATTCTCAGATTATCCTGGCTCTTTGGTGATGAGGAAAGTCGCATTTCTCACTATTCTATTTCTCTAAAAAGTCATCATAACAAAAGGGTACCTTATGAGGGAGTCATTCACGACAACGTGAACACAATTATTATCCCCTTTAATGCCACCAATCGCCTGTTAAATGGAGACAGATACTCTGCGGTTGTGGCGGCTTGTAACCAGGCAGGCCTGTGTACAGTCAGTGAAAGCGAACCAATTCTCATCGATTCAAGCCCGCCCCATTTGGGCGGTTTTACATCGGAACACTTCTGGCAGGTTTCTACCGACCAGACTAATCAGACTAGTGCCACTATTTCTTGGTTTGGTTTTCTAGATGTTGAGTCAGACATAGCTTTCTTCAAACTTTCTGTTGGAAAAACATACAATGGAGGCGAATTTACTAATGGATTCCTACAAATATTAGGAAATCAGACATCAGCCACAATTACTCTTTATGGTTTCAAACCTAATGCTCATAATGAAATAATTTTGTCCATTTATGCAATAAATTATGCAGGATTGAAAAGTAAAACTGCAAAGGCCACAGTGATTACTTCGATGTCTGACAAATCTGGATTGAAAGGGCGATTTCTAACTCAGAGGTATTCCTGTAAAACGTCCTTTTGTAACAATGATTGTACCTGCGGGGTAGTTGGTTTGCAGTGTGTGTTTAATGGCAAAAATACTTGCAGGAAAGTAAATCACACAAACACCGAGGTTTTTATAGGTTCCTCAAATTTTTCGGACAATTTCATTCAATCATCTACTTCCTGCATTGCTGGTTCCTGGAGATCAAACTCAAGCAATATCATAAGATACGAGTGGACAGTGGGACTGGCTAACGAATCTCCAGGGCAAGGAATATTTGACCTTCAAAAGGAAAATCCATGGAGAGATAATGATTTGGAAACCACCATTCTATTTTGCTTACCCGCACACAAGACTTTAATAAACAAACAAAAGTATATTCTTAATGTTAGAGCTTGGATCTCACAGGATGAGTATGGTATCTTCGAAAGCAAAAGCATAACAATTAAAGATACCCCATCTAGAGTCAGAAAAGGAAAATTTATTTCTGAATCCAGAAATGAGGCATGTGGAGTAGACCTCGAGTTTGCCGAAAGCCAGTGGAAAATATGTGCCTGCTGGAAAAATGTGTTTAGTGATGCTGATCGATTAGTGTACAGTTTCAGCGTCGGAACCTCTCCAAAACGTATTTCTGTTTTGATTATCTTGTAATAAAACGTATTCAAAATTGCCTAATATAATAAACTTAATTTGGTTCGATTTCCATAATTCATATATAAATCTTTAGATTATTCATTGAATATATTGTACGCAAAAATTTATCAGTCATATTTAATTTTGTTCTAGTGGACGATGTAATCGAGCCAACCAACCTTGACAATCACACAGAATATTGTCCTTCCCTATCGCTAGTTCCCGGTTTGCGATACTTTTTTACAGTAAAAGCTGTTAATAATATTGGACTTTATACCACTTTATCGTCCGATGGATTTCTTGTTGATGACAGTTTACCAACCTCTGGCGTGGTATTCAACTCACTCTCACAGGAAAACAAACCATTCTTCTCAAGTAAAACTCCTACTGGGGCATCTTGGATTGGTTTTACCGACACGGAGTCCTTCGTAAGAAACTTTTCATTCGGGACCCAAATCTTTGAAAATGGTTCGTTCCATCTCTTAGCGTTAACGTCCGCAAATTTCTCTGCAACAGCTACATCACCCATTTTAAAAGATAGCTCGACATACAGGTATTCTGTACAAGCCAGTGATGCAGCAGGACATGAGAGTATTTTAGCGTTTTCCCCTTCATTTACTGTAGACAACACTGAACCGAGTAGTTTTCAATGTAAAGATGAAAGCTTGATTCGACAAAAACTTTTGCGTTCAGAGAAAACATCTTTTAATATTTCAGTTCAACAAGGACTCTTTTATAAGTTTTATATTTATGATACAGAGGCTTCCTGGGACACTGAAATTGTCCTGAGATTTGAAGATGAAATTATGCGCCTTCCTGTGAAAATGAATGTTAATGGATCTGCCAATATCCATCACGCCATACTGGCAACAACGTCTGGAATAAAAACCATTTCGGTCGTACAACAACAGATACCTATTCATAAACTAAACATTAGCATCTATCAATGTCATCCTGATGCATTTACTTCAAAACGTGTGATAGAATTCACACAGCTTTCACCAGACATGTTGCAAGCATGTGTCAAAGCTATGGATCCTGAAAGTGGAATACAAAGATTTGAGCTTGGCATTGGAACAACTGAAAATGGAACCCAGATAAAACCTCTAGCTGATATTGGGAGAAAACATCATTTTTCGATGCACTTCTCTCTTCCCCATGGTTCTCCAATATTTTTGCATGTTGTTGCTGAAAACGCCGCCAAATTACAAAACTTTTTTACATCGAACAAAAGTATTGCCGACCACACACCACCCTATATAGTGATTCTTTCGGAAAAACTGGAATATCAAGAGGTTGACAACAGCACTCTGATTAAAATGATCCTACAATTCCGATCGGAAGACATCGAAAGTGGAGTCAAATTCTGTAAAGCTTGCATCAGTAAGAATAATAAAAAATGCATTTTCTTGTTTCTTATTTATAAAATTCATGCTGTTTTATGCTGATTACTTTTCTCAACCTTCACAAAATTGTATCATAATGTAGCTACAGTGCATTTTATCAATTTAACAAACAGATCTTTGATACTTTTCAGTACATTTTCAAATTATAATTATTGTAGAGAGCATACAAGGAGCCGTTATTTATCCCTGCGAGACTACGGCAAGTCCCTTTGTGTCAAACTACATTAATGCCACACACGGAACGAAACTCGTACCTGAGGTGGTCTGTGTCAACGCATTAGAACTACAAACAACACTGCAAGGAGGAATCAATATCGTTTCCATTAAGAAACCGTCACTTGAGAACGCAAGGGTCGAATTCGTGGTCCCTGATCCATATTTTCGAATAGAGGGTGATCCAGTCCAAAGTGATACAACCGGAATACAATTCCGGTGGTTCGGCTTTGAAGATGACTCTGAAATAATCTCCTATGATGTCAAGCTTCAGAAGGGTTCAAGTATCATTCAAAACTGGGTCAATGTTGGCAGACATGACTATGCTTCTTTCAGTAACCTTGTACTCCGAGATGCAGAAATTTACACAGTCTTTATCCGGGCAAGGAACAGTGGTGGATGGATAAGTCCTGCTCTAAATGCTTCTGTTAGAATCGATGTGCAGCGACCTGTCCTAACAGGTAGAGTTTTCAAACTTCTTTTTGTGAAGCAATTAAACTATATTACAGGAAATATTGTTTCCAAAATTGTATCAAGAATGGTAAAATTCAGCGAATAGATGTTCATGCATTTAGTTTTTATAATTAAAACAGCGTAACATAATTTTATAATTATAACTTTTGAGCTATATGTGCAGGTTTTCCCGCCATATTACATTCACTGAATAAAGACGGATTGTACAGACTTGACTGGAGCCGTGTGTTCGTTTATAACGAACGTCATCCTACTAGATATGACGTCAGCGTTGGGACTTCTGCTGGAGCTAGTGATATTCTGCGCCAAGATGGCTTAGTGGACACCACCTACGATCTAGACGACATGGAGCACATAAGTGTGGTATACGTCGTTGTGAGAGCCTCGTTTCCAACTCTAACATCTAAAGTATACGCTGGAAGAATTGTTTTACAATAATTTGTGTGATTATATTTCAGACGTGAAATATACAATTGATATATAATCAGATTTGAGGACTTCTTCTTTATTTCTCTGACTTTTACTGAAATGCTAGTACAAATTGATTTTTTGTTTGTTTTACCCATTTTGCATTTTAAATACTTGTATTCTGCAGAATAAAGTATGCTATTAATATTTTGATGTTACAATTCACAAGCACTTGACGTTTTAAACCTTTCTTTTTTTTGATAAAAATTTCCCAAACTAAAATAGTACGTTGATACATGTATTTTCATAAATGAAAAAATAGTTTAAAACGCCAAGTACCGATGATAAGAGTTTATCAGAAAAATTAACGATTTGGAATCATGAATAACAATGCCCATTCTTCGATAACGTTACAATCAATGAGGTTACCCGCGTGGTGTAGTGGTAAGAGCGGTTGCCCGGAGTCCGAAGTGAAGACTTGATCCTAATAACGTCCCGGTCCAGAATCCCACTACGGGAAGTGGAAAGCGGTCATAGGGATAAGAACTAGTATAAACCGACGTCCTATGTTGGAGTAGGTGCTGGCATGAAAAATACCCCTTACTACTCAATGAGCGAAGTGCCAAGTAAAAGTCTCCAATTGCAATTAATGGGGGCGTCTCAAAAGGAGTGAAAACTTTTCGAAGGAATGTAAAACAAACAAACAAGCAGTTGTCTGAATTGTTGTGAATTTCTGTAACAGGTGTAAAACATCAGTGTCGCGAAAGCATTTTTTAAACTTGAAAGTTCTAACATTTAGCATGTTTAAACTTACATAATTCAGTAAATTTCAAGATCGTATAACATGGGTTCTATGGTGTGTGTCTTTTTTAGAGAAATATTGCTTGCTTATATAAAAATTGTTTGGGAAAGAATATTTGTAAAAAAGTAATTATATCATTATCAGATTGCTTTATAAGTCGTTAATTCTTTTAATTCAGCTATGACGGGTTTTTGGGGTGGGGGATGGTGGTTGAAAAAAAAATCCTGACGTCCTTCTAAATGATACAGGTTTTTTTTTTTTATAATCAAGGATCTTTTAAAATAAATTTATTCAACCGGATCCAACAAGCATCGTATGGTGAAAACTGAATTCCTTGAATGAAAGAATATGAAAGAACATGATAGAGAAGGAATACACGTGTTTTTTTCAGTTTTGAATTCAATAAGTTTTCTCGATGATAATATGTTCTCTATATAAAAACTAATAAAACCAAAAAACTACTGAACCAGCTTCGGCTTGAAAAATAGGTGTACCTGTATATAAAGAAATGTGATGGCATAACAGTTAAATTGTTCAGATATTATCATAAATAATTTAGCACATTTATAGTACAAACATGTATAATCCTTTATATCTCCGATTCTGGTAGTGAGAGATAAGACATTTCTCCAATAAAAGTCACAGGTTTGCCAAGAAGAAAATATGGAAATAATAAATTCGGTAAAAACGGTGATATCAACTTTACTGATAGTCCAAGGTAATTCACGCACTATCTTTGAACTTTATTATATAAGCATGGCACCGGTATCTTGCAATCGGCTTCTTGCAATTCTGTTCTCATTTGATTGATATCATTACAGCATATTTGGTGTATGGGAAGACGTACTCAGAGTGCTTACAGGACGTAGAAAACGGAGTGTGTCAGAGATACACCCACATCACAATCTGTACCAATGACGGCGTCGTCCATAACGGTCAGTTTGAAGGATCATCTGTTTAGAAACTTGTCTAAGTTGATTGATTGAATACAATCATAACAGTCTAGAATTAGCTTAATCTTCAACCATTATATAAGAAATATATTTTCTCAGATAATGGGTGATCATAAAGTTAAATCAGATTTTGAAAACAATATTAAGCCTTATTTGGTTTTAAAAGAAGTAATAAAACTCGCTGTTTGCAAAGTGGCTTTTTGTGCACTTCAAAATGTACCTTTTCTTTCCACACTACCATTGCTATGATTATATAAATAACAAAATGACATTTTCTTTCACAGGTGTATGTGATTATCAAAGGGCCATTTGTGATGCCTTCTATAACCGTCACATTTCTCTCACGGTAATAGGGACTGGAGCGAACGGTGTCTGTAACTTCACCCATCATGTCACTTCCACGTCCCCTCGCCCTCTCTCTAGTGTAGAGACAAACCTTTACCGAGCCATTGCTGATGGTATTGACAAACGTCTCCTCAGGACACAGTCGGCAGGTACAGAGGTATCAGAAGCCATTAAAATCTTCTCCAAACAGGATCACGTCCATTACGTCTATGTCAGAAATTCGGAATGCTGGGCCCAAGACCTTGACCTTACCTGTATGTCACCTTGGAACAGCAATGGCCACAACCGTAAAGCAGGAACCTTGCTCTCTCCTCGGCATGCTATTTGGGCAAGGCACTATAACATGCCAATCAATACAACGTTACGTTTTGTTGATAGGAACAATAAGGTTGTGGAACGAAAGATTATCAAAATCCATGCTCTTCCTGTCCCAGCTCATACGAACTATCATAGCGGATACGACATGATGATAGGGCTCCTTGATCAAGACGTACCTTCCTCCATTGCATTTGCAAAAGTCCTTCCCAGAAATTTCACGGAGATATATGGTTCCCATGTGAATCACGCCCTTCCAGTTCTGAGTACTGATTACGAAGAGAAAGCTCTCGTAGATGATCTCCGAATGATGCACGACAAAATGGTCAGTCTTACTGCTCCAAGTTTGTCATATCGCCATGCTTTCTATGAGAGTAAAATTGTAGGTGATAGTGGGAATCCCAGCTTCTTTATAATCGACAACCAGTTAGTGTTCTTGTTTGTCTTCACGTATGGCGGGGCTGGTGCAGGCACTTCCGTACAGTATCACTTTGACGACGTCAATCACGTGATGAAGAATCTTGGTGGCGGATATTCTTTAACCGAGATCGATTTGTCCAAATATGCTAGTGACTCGCAAATCACAAATATATTTGGATGAAAATTGCTATGATAAGTTCTTAAGAGCTAAGAAAACAAGCATTATATATATAGTCTTATTACTCTTATTAAATTGAAGAAAATTTTGTTCATGACGAAAATGAGTACACGCAAGATATCATGATGATTTCCACAGAATAAAAGCGTGAATTATGTTTGTCTTCTTTCAAGGCGCCATAAATTCTTATATACTTTGTTTTTTGTGTATATAAGTAACGAAAACATGAATTCATCTGTCTTAGATTCCCTGTCTTCTAGTGTATAAACTCTCCTTATTCTTTTCTTCGTTCTGTTTAAGACTGTGCCTTAGATGTGATTTCAGGTCTCTCCATCCCTGCCTTTGTCAATGTGTAACTTAATCAAATTGAATTTTATCATTTTCTTTAGAGATGAGGTTACTGGTTTTTCATAGTTCTTTCTTGTGTGTTTGATTTATGACCTTTCAAGAATAATTTACAAAATGTCCAGCAGCAAAGGGCACTTATGGCCAATGAAAAAATGAGACATGAAAAACAAATTTATTCTAAGAGACTTACAATACAAAACAAATCGATCTTAAACTGTTTAATGCATGTTTGAAAACTGTCCAAAAGCTTGCTGCATACAACTTCTGCATATCTATACTACATGTTATCAAAATATAGCTCTTAATTTTACAAAAAATCAACTTTCTGCTTGTATAATCAATCAAAATGACATTACATGTACACTTCAACATGAACAAAAAGCATGTTTTCAAAGTATTTTCCATTTGCAAAAACATTTTCATTGGTTTATAAATATACAAGAAACTGATATTAAAAGTGACTTGTACATTAACAAGTGAAAAAAGTATATATACTGCCGACCAGCGACTGCTTAAAGGTGATTAAAACTGCTATTCATCAATAAAAATAGATTATGTACAGCAATTAAAAAAATTCACTTATCAAGAAATTTCCTTAAAAAGAAGTATCATTTCATAATCACAAGATATATACTAATCAGAGTTACCCTCTTCCGTCTGAGCATTTATCATTTCACAGTTTGGTTTTTTTAAACATCATTTAAGGTTCACTACCCTCTGATAAGATAGATAAATATAATTGGGATAAATAACATGTTCCTCAAAAAAACTTATGCAAGAGCCATGTCTGTGAAATTACATGCATCACTATATCACTATGACTAGAAGGCACATGGCTGATATTGTAAAATTTAACACAAAAAAATTATTCATGAGGTGCTCAAACAAAATTTTAATATGTATGAATGGACAGAAGGATGTGGAACCTTAATAACTATACATATCTATATATAATGTAGACAATTTAGCAATATATACAAAGGTTTCTACAGAATTAAGGCCTGTACAAAGTGAAAAGCAAAATTATTAGTGCTTTGAATGCGCACCATCTATTGATAAAAAATATCTCTATTTATAGAGAGAAAATAATTTCCTCTTTTAATGCAAAATAAAAATATACATGAAATGTAAAATTAACCAGAAATCTCTGTCGAGACTGTAGCTCTACTGGTTTGTACTTGTCAAAAACCATTGCATTACTTTATGTAGTCTACTTGTGTGCCAACTTATTTTGAAATCAAACTAAAACTGTAGAAGGAGTAGCGTTTTAAAAAAAATTCACAGAAAATTCTATTTTTAGTAACCATGGTAACACCGTTCATCGAAATCAAAAACCGATGCACTATTCTATGTATCTTAGTGTAGTCTACTTGTGTGCCAAGTTATATTGAAATCAGACCAAAACTGTAGAAGGAGTAGCGTTTTAAAGGAATTTCACAGAAAATTCTATTTTTAGTAACCATAGCAACACCGTTCACCGAAATCAAAAACCGATGCATTATTCTATGTATCTTAGTGTAGTTTACTTGTGTGCCAAGTTATATTGAAATCAGACCAAAACTGTAGAAGGAGTAGTGTTTTAAAGGAATTTCACAGAGAATTCTATTTTTAGTAACCATGGCAACACCGTTCACCAAAATCAAAAACCGATGCACTATTCTATGTATCTTAGTGTAGTCTACTTGTGTGCCAAGTTATATTGAAATCAGACCAAAATTGTAGAAGGAGTAGCGTTTTTAAGGAATTTCACAGAAAATTCTATTTTTAGTAACCATGGCAACACCGTTCATCAAAATTAAAAACCGATGCACTATTCTATGTATCTTAGTGTAGTCTACTTAAGTGCCAAGTAATATTAAAATCAGACTAAAATTGTAGGAGGAGTAGCGTTTTGAAAAATTGTTTACAGACAGACAGACAGACAGCTAGACAGACGGACGGACGCCGGACGCATTACTATCGCATAAGCTCTTCTGGTCTCTGACCAGTAGAGCTAATGAAAAAACAAGTATTTTGCCAGATGAAAATAATAAATTAATAATATATACTGATATGGCACAAAAAATGAAATTCTAAAACTATACAAGGCAAGATCCTAATACCAAGAAAAATCAATACAAATATACAGGGCAAGATTCCACTACATAGAATAAATGAATATACAGTTCATCTGTAAATCTGTTTGTGCCTGGTTACTTTCCTAAGTACTCTTTTATAATACTCTTTAAATCTGTTGGTGGCCTGGTTACATTCCTAAGTACTCTTTTATAATACTCTTTAAATCTGTTTGTGGCCTGGTTACTTTCCTAAGTACTCTTTTATAATACTCTCTAAATCTGTTTTTGGCCTGGTTTATTTTCTAAGTACTCTTTTATAATACTCTTTAAATCTGTTTGTGGCCTGGTGACTTTCCTAAGTACTCTTTTATAATACTCTCTAAATCTGTTTGTGGCCTGGTTACTTTCCTAAGTACTCTTTTATAATACTCTCTAAATCTGTTTGTGGCCTGGTTACTTTCCCAAGTACTCTTTTATAATACTCTCTAAATCTGTTTTTGGCCTGGTTTATTTTCTAAGTACTCTTTTATAATACTCTTTAAATCTGTTTGTGGCCTGGTTACTTTCCTAAGTACTCTTTTATTATACTCTTTCAATCTGTTTTTGGCCTGGTTTATATTCTAAGTACTCTTTTATAATACTCTTTAAATCTGTTTGTGGCCTGGTTACTTTCCTAAGTACTCTTTTATAATACTCTCTAAATCTGTTGGTGGCCTGGTGACTTTCCTAAGTACTCTTTTATAATACTCTCTATATCTGTTTGTGGCCTGGTGACTTCTCTAAGTACTCTTTTAAAATACTCTCTAAATCTGTTTTTGGCCTGGTTTATTTTCTAAGTACTCTTTTATAAATACTCATTAAATCTGTTTGTGGCCTGGTTACTTTCCTAAGTACTCTTTTATAATACTCTCTAAATCTGTTTGTGGCCTGGTTACTTTCCTAAGTACTCTTTTATAATACTCTCTAAATCTGTTTTTGGCCTGGTTTATTTTCTAAGTACTCTTTTATAATACTCTTTAATTCTGTTTGTGGCCTGGTTACTTTCCTAAGTACTCTTTTATAATACTCTTTCAATCTGTTTTTGGCCTGGTTTATATTCTAAGAACTCTTTTATAATACTCTTTAAATCTGTTGGTGGCCTGGTGACTTTCCTAAGTACTCTTTTATAATACTCTCTAAATCTGTTTTTGGCCTGGTGACTTTCCTAAGTACTCTTTTATAATACTCTCTAAATCTGTTTTTGGCCTGGTGACTTTCCTAAGTACTCTTTTATAATACTCTTTAAATCTGTTGGTGGCCTGGTGACTTTCCTAAGTACTCTTTTATAATACTCTCTAAATCTGTTTGTGGCCTGGTTACTTTCCTAAGTACTCTTTTATAATACTCTCTAAATCTGTTGGTGGCCTGGTTACATTCCTAAGTACTCTTTTATAATACTCTTTAAATCTGTTTGTGGCCTGGTTACTTTCCTAAGTACTCTTTTATAATACTCTCTAAATCTGTTTGTGGCCTGGTTACTTTCCTAAGTACTCTTTTATAATACTCTTTAAATCTGTTGGTGGCTTGGTGACTTTCCTAAGTACTCTTTTATAATACTCTCTATATCTGTTTGTGGCCTGGTGACTTTTCTAAGTACTCTTTTAAAATACTCTCTAAATCTGTTTTTGGCCTGGTTTATTTTCTACGTACTCTTTTATAATACTCTTTAAATCTGTTTGTGGCCTGGTGACTTTCCTAAGTACTCTTTCATAATACTCTCTAAATCTGTTTTTGACCTGGTTTATTTTCTAAGTACTCTTTTATAAATACTCATTAAATCTGTTTGTGGCCTGGTGACTTTCCTAAGTACTCTTTTATAATACTCTCTAAATCTGTTTGTGGCCTGGTTACTTTCCTAAGTACTCTTTTATAATACTCTCTAAATCTGTTTTTGGCCTGGTTTATTTTCTAAGTACTCTTTTATAATACTCTTTAAATCTGTTTGTGGCCTGGTTACTTTCCTAAGTACTCTTTTATAATACTCTTTCAATCTGTTTTTGGCCTGGTTTATATTCTAAGAACTCTTTTATAATACTCTTTAAATCTGTTGGTGGCCTGGTTACTTTCCTAAGTACTCTTTTATAATACTCTCTAAATCTGTTTGTGGCCTGGTGACTTTCCTAAGTACTCTTTTATAATACTCTCTAAATCTGTTTTTGGCCTGGTGACTTTCCTAAGTACTCTTTTATAATACTCTTTAAATCTGTTGGTGGCCTGGTGACTTTCCTAAGTACTCTTTTATAATACTCTCTAAATCTGTTTGTGGCCTGGTTACTTTCCTAAGTACTCTTTTATAATACTCTCTAAATCTGTTGGTGGCCTGGTTACATTCCTAAGTACTCTTTTATAATACTCTTTAAATCTGTTTGTGGCCTGGTTACTTTCCTAAGTACTCTTTTATAATACTCTCTAAATCTGTTTTTGGCCTGGTTTATTTTCTAAGTACTCTTTTATAATACTCTTTAAATCTGTTTGTGGCCTGGTGACTTTCCTAAGTACTCTTTTATAATACTCTCTAAATCTGTTTGTGGCCTGGTTACTTTCCTAAGTACTCTTTTATAATACTCTCTAAATCTGTTTGTGGCCTGGTTACTTTCCCAAGTACTCTTTTATAATAATCTCTAAATCTGTTTTTGGCCTGGTTTATTTTCTAAGTACTCTTTTATAATACTCTTTAAATCTGTTTGTGGCCTGGTTACTTTCCTAAGTACTCTTTTATAATACTCTTTCAATCTGTTTTTGGCCTGGTTTATATTCTAAGTACTCTTTTATAATACTCTTTCAATCTGTTTGTGGCCTGGTGACTTTCCTAAGTACTCTTTTATAATACTCTCTAAATCTGTTTGTGGCCTGGTGACTTTCCTAAGTACTCTTTTATAATACTCTTTAAATCTGTTGGTGGCCTGGTGACTTTCCTAAGTACTCTTTTATAATACTCTCTAAATCTGTTTGTGGCCTGGTGACTTTCCTAAGTACTCTTTTATAATACTCTTTAAATCTATTGGTGGCTTGGTGACTTTCCTAAGTACTCTTTTATAATACTCTCTATATCTGTTTGTGGCCTGGTGACTTTTCTAAGTACTCTTTTAAAATACTCTCTAAATCTGTTTTTGGCCTGGTTTATTTTCTAAGTACTCTTTTATAAATACTCATTAAATCTGTTTGTGGCCTGGTTACTTTCCTAAGTACTCTTTTATAATACTCTCTAAATCTGTTTGTGGCCTGGTTACTTTCCTAAGTACTCTTTTATAATACTCTTTAAATCTGTTTTTGGCCTGGTTAATTTACTAAGTACTCTTTTATAATACTCTTTAAATCTGTTTGTGGCCTGGTGACTTTCCTAAGTACTCTTTTATAATACTCTTTAAATCTGTTTTTGGCCTGGTTTATATTCTAAGAACTCTTTTATAATACTCTTTAAATCTGTTGGTGGCCTGGTTACTTTCCTAAGTACTCTTTTATAATACTCTCTAAATCTGTTTGTGGCCTGGTTACTTTCCTAAGTACTCTTTTATAATACTCTCTAAATCTGTTTTTGGCCTGGTGACTTTCCTAAGTACTCTTTTATAATACTCTTTAAATCTGTTGGTGGCCTGGTGACTTTCCTAAGTACTCTTTTATAATACTCTCTAAATCTGTTTGTGGCCTGGTTACTTTCCTAAGTACTCTTTTATAATACTCTTTAAATCTGTTGGTGGCCTGGTGACTTTCCTAAGTACTCTTTTATAATACTCTCTATATCTGTTTGTGGCCTGGTGACTTTTCTAAGTACTCTTTTAAAATACTCTCTAAATCTGTTTTTGGCCTGGTTTATTTTCTACGTACTCTTTTATAATACTCTTTAAATCTGTTTGTGGCCTGGTGACTTTCCTAAGTACTCTTTTAAAATACTCTCTAAACCTGTTTGTGGCCTAGTGACTTTCGTAAGTACTCTTTTATAATACTCTCTAAATCTGTTTGTGGCCTGGTTACTTTCCTAAGTACTCTTTTATAATACTCTCTAAATCTGTTTGTGGCCTGGTGACTTTCCTAAGTACTCTTTTATAATACTCTCTAAATCTGTTTTTGGCCTGGTTTATTTTCTAAGTACTCTTTTATAATACTCTTTAAATTTGTTTGTGACTGGTGACTTTCCTAAGTACTCTTTTATAATACTCTCTAAATCTGTTTGTGGCCTGGTTTATTTTCTAAGTACTCTTTTATAATACTCTTTAAATTTGTTTGTGCCTGGTGACTTTCCTAAGTACTCTTTTATAATACTCTCTAAATCTGTTTTTGGCCTGGTTTATTTTCTAAGTACTCTTTTATAATACTCTTTAAATCTGTTTGTGCCTGGTGACTTTCCTAAGTACTCTTTTATAATACTCTCTAAATCTGTTTTTGGCCTGGTTTATTTTCCAAGCACTCTTTTATAATACTCTTAAGAAGAGTTATACAAGTATGAGTTCTATTCAATGAATACTCTCCTATATGTTCATGAATACTCTCCTATATGTGTATGAATACTCCTCTATATGTGTAGGAATACTCCTCTATATATGTAGGAATCCCTTTCTATATATGTTTATGAATATTTTCCTATATGTGTATGAATATTCTCCTATATGTGTATGAATACTCCTCTATATGCATGTGTATGAATACTCTTCTTTGAATACCTTCCTATACGTGAATGAATATTCTCTTTATGTATGAATACGGTAAACCAACTTTTATTCATGTGGAAAAATTTTCGCGAAGTTCGCAAGAGCCTTATGATCGCGAATATTTCTCGCCGCGAACCAGTCCTTAAAGTCTCTGAGTCTATTAACAACATATCAAAAAAGGCTAGATAGCAAAAATTAATCGCCGAGAACTAGTTTTACCCAAGTAAATTGGGAACTAAAGTTGTCCCGAATAAAAGTTGGTTTACAGTACTCTCCTATATCTGTATGAATATTCTCCTTTATGTGAGTTAATACTCATCTATATGTGTATGAATATTCTCCATTATGTGTATGAATATGCTCCTTTAAATTATGTCTATGAATTCTCCTATATGTATAAGAATACTCTCCTATATGTGTATGAATATGCTACTTTAAATCATGTGTATGAATTCTTCTAAATGTATATGAAAACTCTCCTATTTGTGTATGAAAACTCTCCTATATCTGTATGAATACTGAGCTATATGTGTATGAATACTCTCCTATATATGAATAAATATTCTCCTATATGTGAATAAATATTCTCCTATATGTGAATGAATACCCTCCTATACGTGTATGAATACTCTCCTACGAGTTTTGACAAGCATTTCTCAAACTACAGTGTCCTCCAGAGCAAATGTGAACTGAGCCAATGTTGATAAATCCTTTATCTTCAGCATCTCATTCAGAGTTTTATAGAAGTAATCCGGGGACTGAAAGCATATTAAAATACCTTTATATTTCTCGGTTTTATTAAACAGCAAAATTCATTTGCCTATATTTTTTTAAAGAAATAAAACCTATTTTTTGTAAAATTTAAAACATTTGGAGATTCCTCATTTATAAAAAACATTTCTGAACTTGATGCAAAATCATGCAAGTTATAGTTTAATCCTTAACTGTGTCAAATTGTTTTAAATTACCTCCTGTCTTAGAACCTGAAGGAAGGCGATTTCTGTCCCTGTCAGCTTAGAAAACTTGGAGCTACAAGAGATAATAATTTTGTTACAATTTAGACTGTAGTCATAAAATCTGTATTTTAATCTGGATCTTTTTTTTTTATTTTATCTATACTGGCACTATTGCACAAGAAAGGGAAGCTGAGGAGTTTGTGGTGATTGTTTGAGCTTACCTACACAGATTGTACACATGAAGAACTTAAATGTGGTTTACATGTGGAGCGTACCTTACCGTGGAATTTTATTTGTGGTTTATTTGTGGTTAACATGTGCAGCATACTTTTTCGAGGAATTGTGGCGTTTATTTGTGGTTTACCTGGGGAGTTTGTGATGGTTGATCCATCTGAGAACATCACTTTCCGTCCACCTCTTCACCACTTCTGAAGCCTGAACCTTAACCATTTTACCATTAGAACTTTCAGGTGTCTTCTAAAAGAAGGAATAGTTGTATTAAACAATTAGGAGTTGAAGTCAGGAGAAAATTTATACCTTTATATATTTGTAATCATATAGACGCTCATACAATACCATAAATATGGTAAATCATAATCAAAAGGTGTCATATGAGCTGTACCTCTGTAGGAACTTGTGCTGTTTGAGGAATGATAGGCTTTTCAGGGACCTCCCTTTTCTGTCTGGTGAGGATTTCCTTTACTAGGGCATTAATCTTAACCTCAAAAGGATACTTGTCTGTGAACTCAAAGAACAGCCTAGAACCAATAATAAAACCCAGCCACTCCCTAGCTTGGTAGGTTCTCTCCATTTTAAGAGGAATTATTGGTTTTCTCAGCTGAAAAGCATATTCTGCCTCTGAAAAGGTACAGAAAGCATTCAGTGATCACATTAAGCTATGTTTGTCAAGTTACTGTAAAGTACATTTTTTCCACGGGGTCATAATTCCGTGGAATCTCAATTTCTGTTTGATCCACAGGTAGAAAATTATGCGGATTTCTTAGATGGTCACTTAATGCCTTACGTTTATATTAAGTATGCTTGGACAAATTTCCGCCGAAAATTTGTGACCGCGTACAAAGCGTAAATTAATACCACGCGGAAAAAAGTACTTCTACAGTATCAAAAAGATCTTGAATATCATTTGATTCTTTGTCCTCATCTTTTTTTCTTAATATATGTCTCAAGAAATATTTTCGGAAAAATAGTTTAAATACTTAGTTCAAAATATTTTTTAAAAATCATAATTTGTTTTACATAAAATATAGAGATTCATGCAAATTAGGTAACTTATGTCCACCGACCTGCCCTGCAGTTTGGACTGTCATAGTATTTTTTTGAGTAACAAATCAGAATCATATCAGCTCTTTCCACAGCCCGAGCCATGGCATTGAGAGTAGAACCCTGCATATCATCAATATCCATCCAGCATTTGATCCCATTCTCCTGCAGACTGTCCCGAATCCTCTTGATAATTTTCTGATTGGCCCATTGGTAGCTGATCATCACATGACCTCTATGTGAACCAGATGACTCTGAAGTTACTTCCTTTTCATCTCTCTTGTATTCATTACCTAATGTAAAATATAAATAATGTATCTGTGGTAGGCTTCAGTACTTTACAATAAAGAGTTCATTGGAAAGAAATAGAATTTTGCAAAATTTAGCTGGAAAACGAATATATCAAATATATAGGACAAAAACTTGCAGCAAGATGGTACATAAATCTCAAAGTTGACAGTATCATACATGACACAAAGGATATTACCATTAAACTATTACCTAGTTCCTTATACTTGTCTATAGAACTCAGCTTTTCCCTCATATTCCACAGGGCCCCATGACAGGCATTCTTGATTTTCTTTGTTTGGGACGTTTGGAGGTCAATTAAAGTTTTCATGACAGTATCGTCCTTTACCATGACATCCTGGTTTTCTTTGTCAAAAGACAACATCCACAATGCTCCCAGAGCCTCTGTATTAAAAAAACAATCCCAGACAATTTAAATTTAACCTTCAACAATGTGTTAAACAACTAATATTTGTGTAATCTTTTTTTCACGATTCGTCAGCTTGCAATCAGTCCGCGATGTTTAATTTTTGCATCTGAGGAAACATTCTCTACCAATGCAAGGCTAAATAATATAACACTATTATAGCCTGTCATTACCTATTTGTTCATTTTCATACTTGGACTGCGCTAAGGACACAAGCACTGGAAGGCAACCCTGGGCAACCAAAGACTTCTTGTTAACATCATTTCTTGCAATTCTCCTTATAGCTATGAAAGAAACCAAACATAGTATTTTAAAAAAATGCAAAATTAATCAGAAATTTCCTGCATGTCTTTCACTGTAATTAGATGAAGAGTTATCAACAAAATAAGTACTTCTAGCCAGTTCCCATGCGGCCCATCCTTTACATCTTCTATGCCGATCTTCCATTGATGACCTCAGACACTTCAGCAGGAAGGTAAAGAATTCTCCGTGACTCTCTAAATACATGGCCTGGGTTTCATCCACCAGGTCGGCCAGGGTGGCCAGTGTAGACAGAAGGATTCTCTCCTTGGTGGATTTCAGGTACGGCAGGAGCACTTCCACAAAGCCGTGATCTCGCAGCTCAGTGATACTGCTCTCCGCCTGGGCAATGTTGTGGATTATTGACAGGTATGATTGAAGAATTTTGGCATCTTTTTCCTGTTCAAATAAAGATTAAATACCTGGTACATGTATATCTAGTTTCCCTATGAAACATTTCTTAATGTGTCATTTACAGACTTTGTTTACTCACCAACATATTGTCCTGTAAGTGACTCTCCCTCAGTCTCTGAAGAGCTTCACAGATCTGGGGCAGGAAGTCCCCATGTTCCACCAGTAAGTGGGCAAAATTAGGATTAATGTCAGTAAAGTTAATCATCACAATGGCCGAGTTAATGAGAGGAATCCAGATCCCCTGAATCAATTTACCATCTTCCATATAATACCCGCGCCTTTCACAGTAAACAATCACATCACACACTGTCTTCACACCCCCTAGCTCCACAAAAACAGCACCTTGTTCTTGTTTGAAAGCATCATTAATTTCTAAACTAGTCTTATTCAAAGCAAAATGACATTTTTGTAACTGAAATGTTGCCCCTTTGAAAGCTTGGTTAAAGGTTCCTTTTTCATTCAAGTGTCCCTCAATGTCTGAGAGAATCTCCAGATTGGTTTGAATCGACTTCAGAGTCTTTGTTTTGATCGCCTGTATTTCCTCCTCTGTGAGCTTTTTATTCTTTTCTTCAGTCACTGCCTCTTCTTTCTGAGTCTCCTCGTCATTGCTGTCTTTTGTTTGGCTTTCTGCTGGTTTGGGAGGCTCTGAATCTTCCTGTGTTACAGTGCCAGTATCTGTAGGTTTTGACAGATTTTTCTCCCCGCTCGACATAGCTGTCTCAGATATTCCGGTTTCTTTAACTTCAGTCTTTTCATCCTTTGTGTCAGACAAATTCAGTTCTCCTTCCATGTCTTGTACCACCAATTTTTGTGTTTCAGAATCTGAAATATTTCCTGGAATTTCCTGTTTGTCTGTGTGTTTCTTTTTGGTTGGAGAAGAGTTTCCTTTTGAGATTTTTAAGGAGGGGGTAAATATCTGACTGTCAGTTACCACAGTCTTACCTCGTGTAGAAGGCCCTGACCCCATCAGATAGTCAGCTGTTCAAAGTCCATCCTTCTGTTAAATATTTAGGATAATGACAAACTCAATCCAGTTGAAAATCTATCAAAGGAATTTAAAAAATATATATTTCAATCATTTCAATCATTTGACCCTATTATTTTAATCAAGACTGTATTAAAGAGCATCAATGACTTTTCCCAAGTCTGAACATGTATGTGGCAATGTATGTATTACATGTATACTAATTAATTAACTCTGTGTGCCCAATGATTTTTTAATTCCTTCAACACCAGTCCAGTCCAATACGAAAATTCGTTATATTACGCTTTGGACTGAACACTTCAAATTTAAAAAAAAATGGAACCATATTCATTTAGATTATTGTTTACAAGTATTGATTAATCCTCCAGTGAATCGACATATTGTTGAAAACTTGTTATAGACTTTACTGATTACGATAAAAAACTGTCAATAGATAAAATTATTTAAAAATAAACATTTGCATGTCAGATAATATATCAGAGACTGCATGCTAAAAATAATGGTTCCTCAACACCAAAATGTAAAATGCAAATTTCTTATTTTAAAAAATTGTGAGAAAAAATGATTTAGGCCTATATTAAGCCATAAAAAGAAGATCCCTTTTTACAAAATCATCGGAGTAGGCTATTGCGTAATCGTGTTTACCTTATCAACATGTCCAACCTTGATGCAGCGTGCCCATAAGTGACTTCTGGGGGTAAATTTCAAAATCCTTCATTCTTGTTGATAACTTTAACGATCAAAGCAGAGTATTGGGTTAAAATCGTGGGGTATGTTCACACAAAGCATCCAGGTCAGTGTTGTTTTGTTCAATATGACCCAATTCTACAAAGGGAGCAATCTCCTATGCAGAGTTGTCGTTCGTTCATCTCTCAGACACCAAAGGGAGGTTATGAGGAGCATGATTCCCGAACCCGACTAAATAAAAACATAAATTAGCACACTACAAAGAAAAATCAAAGTACTCAGAAGTACTGAAAGCCGGGCTCATTTACAGGGTAATGAACAAAGACCGTGGTGACAGTTTAAAATCAAGTTTTGACGTTTAGAGGATATGTTACACACAAATATATCTCAATGGCATGTACAGTATTTAAAAGTTTTAAAAATTAAATAAAATAAAGCTAGAAAAAATTAACAGCGTAAAATATTTATCACATATATCGTTTCGGGGTTTTGTATACAAACAGAAGTAAATAAACACCGATGCAGCAAGATTAATTAAGGTCAAACGACTATGTACTGATGTGTCCTCAGCGGGGAGTTTTGCATCAAATCATTAATGATGTTCCCTGCATTTGTGTTAGCCTGATAGTAGAATATGACGCAGACAGGGATACCTGATGAAAACCTTTCGCACCTTTTGAATTGCTTTGTAAAATATTAGTCAAAGGAGCCAGGAAAATATTAAACAATTTCTTAAGGTGTTTGAATGGATTTTGTTTTCTCAACAGCGGCTGGGCGTACGTACTATATTTTTACTCGTAAACTCAATTTGGCGGTGAAGAAGCAGCATTTTCTGTTGCTCACCGTCGCAATAGCCGGGCATTGCTCTACGAGCAATGAGCCCGGCTAAAAATTAACATCTCTGTAATTTTTTTGTTTCATAAATGTTTTCATTTTTCTGAAATATTTTAACTACGTAACTAAGTGTAATAGAATTATAAGTGATTTGATGTCATCTAACAAGCTTGGATACGTGTTGAGGAATGGGAAAATTTTTGTCTTAGTCGTAAGATTTTTTGTGGAAAATGGTCACAGTACATTGCGAATGCGAGATCTATCCGATCGAGTACCTATTCAGGCACGTAGCATCGTTTTTGAAAGTGGGGGGGGGGGGGGGGGGCAACAAGCCAAAAAAAAAAAAAAAGGAAATTGCCTCCTCCCCCCCCCCCCCCGTTGCTACGTCCCTGCTATTCATTTTATTACTGGGAATGTATTACTTTTGGACAAAAAAAAAATCCATGATAAAAATTACCGAAAAATAGGACTGAACTATTCGTAAGACTATAATTTATACTAGGATCGGAATTTTAAATATTTGGGGGGGGGGGGGGATAATGCAGGTTAACATATACTAGATGAACTCAGGGTAAGTGTGAGCACTGAGCTCACTATGTGATACCCCCTGCCTCCCATATGATCATAATGGCAAAATCCATCTTTTGCTCTGGAAGAACCGAAATTAGTGTGAGATCAAAAAGTAAAATAAGAGGTCACAATGGCATTATGTAATAAAGAAATCTGTGAAAAGTAGCAATAATTTTTATTGAAGTGGTATAGGAGGAGTTGCGGATAAGAGATGGGTACCCTTCAGTATTATAAAAAGAATGGCAGTATCCATGTTTTGCCAAAGGAAACCAAAAATTTGTGTCCGATCAAAAAGTAAAACAGGAGGTGCACAATGACACTATGTTACAAAGATCCTGTGAAAGTCTCATTCAGTGGTATATAACATAAGTTGAAATAAGCTTCATTCCTTAAATAAGAGGAGTTTCGGATAAGAAATGGGTACCCAAAAGCGTAACGGACGTTCAGACAGACGGACGGACGGACATCCCGATCACTATATACCTCCCACTTTTCAAGCCGGGGGGGTATTATAATATATATGATTAAAGTCCTCTTGATTCTATGAATTATTAGATAAATCCGATCTGTTGAACTTTCCTATTTCTCAAGATAAAGTATGGTCAGATTACATAACCTTTCTCATATCCCAGACCACACAAAAAAGCGCAGGGGGTGGGGGGGGGGGGGGCACCTACATGCTGACAGAAAAACTTTTACCGTTTTCTTGTCTTTTTTTCACCTATCAAATAAAACAAAATCTAGCAACAGTATACTTAAAACGGATGAATTAGGATGAAATTAATTTGTCTTTAATATTTAATATATGTTCAAGTGTTCTTTTTAAAAAGGTGGATTGATCGCACATATTAGTTTGAAGAAAATGGAGAGAAAAAAAAATCAAATTCCGGTAGTGATGAGTGGTTTTGACGTTCAGATTTGTCCACGTGACCCGCCTAGAGCCAGCTTCAGGTGGAGTGTAATGGATTTATTCACGTGTAAATTTCCCGTTATCTCAGTGTACACCCTACGGTTATCATATGTTGACGAAATAAAACAAGGTTTTGTTCTTTCATAACCAAAATTTTAACCCTTCAAAATTAATAGTGTTGGGTTTTTTTCATCATCCTATTTAATCGTTGATATTTTTAATAAAATGATGAATTCGTAAGAAACGTACCAGAGCAACAATTTCATTAGAAAAGGGAGAAGGAATGAAAAGTAGTCGACCAATTACGTATATGTTGATATTTGAAGTTGATTGGCATATAAATGTCTGCAAATGACCTTCACTACACATGTACTTGGCATTAGTCGAAACAACCTAGCTGCATATCTGTAGCGTTATGGTTTTATATATTAGTCTTTGACCATAATGCTACAGATCCCGTAATGCAAAAAAGGTGCAATTTACGGCGCAATATTTTTTGCGCACTTTTGGGAAGAATTTCTCCACTTTCTAGCATTGGTCAATCAACTACCTTTCACTCCCTAATTCTAGACAAATTCTATAGCCAATATGTATATTTTATCCACCTCCCAACCATTTATAGTTGTCTCTACAGGCAATAAACTCGTTTGAAGTGAATGTTCAGCAATCTAAAAAATATATTTTAATCAAGCGAGTTTATCACTTGTAGAGACGATTATAAAGGGTTGGGAGATGAATTATACAGATGAGTTAAATAAAGTGCCTAGAATTAGGGAGTGAAAGGTAGTTATTTGAGCGATGCTGGAAAATGGAGAAATTCTCTCCAAAAGTGCGCAAAAAATATTGCGCCGTAAATTGCACCTTTTTTTGCAATACGGGATCTGTAGCGTTATGGTCAAAGACAAATATATAAAACCATAACGCTACAGATCTGCAGATAGAAACAACCCAGAACAAGAATTTCTAACAAATTTGAGGGTCACGCATTTTTAGCATCCTTCATTTATTACATTGAAATTACAGGGCTCCAGCTCTGCATGAATTAAATTTCGAACAACTAAATGTATATTCAATCGGTAATATCGCTTGGGTAATTATTAAGTAAATAAATATATTATTTTTTTAAAAATCGAATAATTATAAAGTATTGCTTTTAATTAACTCTTCCCAAACTAATTTCTTCAGTTAAAATGAATGTAACTTCCGAAATCTATTTACCAAAGACAGAGACATTAAATGTCACCCCCGATAAGATACGAGTCGGACCCCCCGGGGCAGCTGACGACCCAGGCTGATCAGTGGTTATTGATCTGGAGTCGTGTACTGGACAACACCTTTAGTGGATATCAGTTACATCAACTAAAACAAACCAAAAAATTGATTTTCATTGATTTCCGGGATATTTTAACACGCAGGTAATTGAATTTTTTCAGGAAAATTTAGAATAACCTTAGTTTGACTGATAAATAATCAAATATTTCATGATTGAACTCCTGTAAAACCAAATCATTATACTGTTTATTCTAAATTATTCTATTTTAAAGAGATGGCGCTTTGTGCTGCAGTTGTGGTCCTGCTATACTTCGTTTTGGGAGTATACGGCCAAAATCCACCCTCGTGTAAGTACTCATAGCTAGATTATCCACTGAAAGTTTAAAGAAAAAGTAAAAAAAAAAAAGTGGTCTGAACTTTCTTCATTCAAAAGCTTAAAGAAGAATTGTCCCTTTTCCTCGTGAACTTTTGGTTCGTTTATTTTTCTTTCCGATACTTTCCTAATGCATATAGTGAAGAAAAATTAATTAACAGATGATTCATATTTTTTTTGGAAGTGTTGAATGGGTTTTGAATAGACTTTTTTCTTCAGTTTTTTTCAATTAGAGTTTTTAGCCATTTTCTCCGCTTTCTTTAATCGCAGTATTTTTGCCACGACTTCCGTCAACAAATGATATCTTACCTTAGGAACCATCAGCTTCATAGTTTTCAGTCTGTTACTTTGAGACCAGATTTGTCAGCTTCTCTATAGAATTTACCTTCCCTATAAATCTTTGGTTTGTTGAGCAAAATTGTCAACCGAAGTCTACTTTATTTCCGAACTTCATTCTTCATGATTGAAATCTCAAAGTAAACCGACAGCACAGAATTTTATTTCAAAATGTTTACAATAGGAAAGATATCAAATAAACCCTGTTGTTCTGATCGTGAAAAACTTCATTTGAAGCTTCTGCAAATTAGTTGTGTCACAATCAACAAGAAGCCTATAAAATTGTTTCCATGTCTTCAAACTTTAACTTTTTCCTGTTTTATAGCTATAAGAATACAGTATTACACTTTACATATATAAGGACTTGATTCAGAACTCTTTTTTAAGCTTTTGCCTTAACGAACCACTGTGTTGGACCGGGTGCAGTAGCATTTGCATTAGATGGATCAGAAAGTATCAATGCTTCCAACTTTGAACTATTGAAACAGTTTGTAAAAGCCAATATTCAGCATTTCAAGATTGGACCAAGCAACATTCAGGTCGCCGCTTTTGTATTCAGTCAAGCTATCGGTGACGATGGATTCCCGTTCGACAGTCAGGACACGAACTACACACTATTTGCCAAAGTGGATGCCTTGAAGTTAATACGTATGGCTACATTTACTGACGTAGCGATCACCGAGATAATCCGCCTTCTTATCCAACCAAACGTCCCCTACCCTAAGGTGGGCGTGATCCTGACCGACGGGGCATCGTACGACCCGGTGAAGACCCAGACAGCGGCCGCTGCGGCCCGTACCCTGGGGGTGACCCTCATTTCTGTGGGTATCGGAGTCTCCCCTGGATCAGCCGCTGCGGCAGAACTTACCGCCATTACAGGAAACCCCTCACAGGTTCTCCTGTTAAACGGATACAGCCAGCTGACAAACTTAACTGGTGTAGCCATACTTAGCGATTTACTGTGTCGAGGTAAAGTTAAAAATCTACCAACAAATTGAATTAAAATGCATCAGTTTTTAAATTAACATCTTTTTAAGATTGGAATTTTTTTTAAAAAGTCCACAACTACCGGTATATATACGTATACAAAAGAGGACAAAAAAACCTTTGGGTTTTCCTATTTAGATCAATTACAAATAGGACGTTTGAATTAAAAGAAATAATTAAATAACAGTTACTACTGGTTATGTTTAGCAATAACAACATCCACGAGCACAACAACGACGACACCTATTCCGACGACAACCAGTACCCCGATCCCGACGACACAAAGACCAACAACACCAAACCCGACATTACCACCTCTGACCACCCAGAAACTCCAGACCGATAAAAGTAAGTATACTCCACAACTATATAACACCAACCCAACATTACCACCTCTGACCACCCAGAAACTCCAGACTGATAAAAGTAAGTATACTCCACAACTATATAACACCAACCCCAACATTACCACCTCTGACTACCCAAAAACTCCAGACTGATAAAAGTTAGTATACTCCACAACTATAAAACACCAACTCCAACATTACCACCTCTGACTACCCAGAAACTCCAGACTGATAAAAGTAAGTGAACTCACAGTAATACACCAACCCCAACATTACCACCTCTGACCACCCAGAAACTTCAAACTGATAAAAGTAAGTGAACTCACAGTAGAACACCAACCCCAACATTACCACCTCTGACCACCCAGAAACCCCAGACTGATAAAAGTAGGTATACCTCACAATCATAAACCACTTACTCCAACATCACCACCTCTTACCACCCAGAAACTCCAGACCGATAAAAGTAAGTATACTCACAGCAGAACAACAACCGAACATTAACACCCATGTACTAAGGAATGGTGAATGAAAGACAGGCCATCTAGCCTATTATCACCAAGAAATTTCAGACCGACAAAATTGAGAATACCATAATAATAATACAAGCAGCATGCATTACCAAAGGTTTTTGAAAGATATCAATTGATGAAAATTCTTGGATAATTCAAAGAAAAATATATAAAAAATACAAAACTTATATTCTTGGTGTTTCTTTTATCTATATTGTTTTCAAAAAAGTGTATAGCACCATAGATGGACATTAAAATGCAGCACACAGTTCTTTCAAGAATTGAAACTTTTCAACTCCAAGGAAAAGGACCAAAAAAAATTAAACTACGTTGTATGTCCTTAATTGAATGAACTTAGTCTTACATGATCTGTTTCTTATTGCAGTCACTAACCCTTTGTGTGAGGGCTGTATTATAGCTGACGGTGTAGGATACAACAGGCACGGATCTAACTGCCAACGCTTCGTCCAGTGCTACTTTGAGGATGATAAAGCAGTTGCCATGGAGAAGAAGTGTGGATTCGGACAGTTCTTCTCGCTGTCTCATCTGACGTGTGTTCACGCTGAATACTCAGACTGTCCATATGGTACGTAGTTTAATCCTATAGTTATTTTAAATCTTCCGATTGTGATCGACTTCCTATTATTTTAAAAGATTTTTGGAGCTATAATAACTAGTTAATAACTAATTCAAGTGATCAGTTTGTTAATCCAGTTGATTTGATTGTTAATTTTAAAAACTTTTTTTAATTTTTTTCTTCGTTTTCTTAATAAAATACTCGTAACCTATATTTATCTTTTCAGATCCTTGTATTGGTCAGCCTGATGGCGCTAGCTGGAACATGGCAGAGAACTGTCAGGGTTACTGGACCTGTATAAACGGCCACTCTGTGCCTACTTGTTGTGGAAATCAGACTCGATACGTCACAGGTTCCGGCTGTGCGGCTGATGTCACATGTACAGAGGCATGTCCACCAAAGCCCACCACTGTTGCATGTATGTAACAACGCAGATGATATATTTTCCCTCATGCCATGGTCAGCATATTTATCACTTGTCAATTAGTCCAAATTAGTCCAAATACCATTATTAGCAGAGGACCAAAATTCTGTTTGTAATAATAACTATGAAACCACTACAATAATCAAACATTGTTTTGGAATGTTTGCTCCCCCTAGACACTTGTTCCTGCGGGTTTTTTTCACTTCATGATGTATTAAGAGGTTTCTGTTTGATCTTCTCCAAATCTGTACTGTTTAATCTTCTCCAAATCTGTACTGTTTGATCTTCTCCAAATCTGTACTGTTTGATCTTCTCCCAATCTGTACTGTTTGATCTTCTCCCAATCTGTACTGTTTGATCTTCTCCCAATCTGTACTGTTTGATCTTCTCTCAATCTGTACTGTTTGATCTTCTCCCAATCTGTACTGTTTGATCTTCTCCCAATCTGTACTGTTTGATCTTCTCTCAATCTGTATTGTTTGATCTTCTCCCAATCTGTAATGTTTGATCTTCTCTCAATCTGTACTGTTTGATCTTCTCTCAATATGTACTGTTTGATCTTCTCCCAATCTGTACTGTTTGATCTTCTCCCAATCTGTACTGTTTGATCTTCTCTCAATCTGTACTGTTTGATCTTCTCTCAATCTGCACTGTTTGATCTTCTCCTAATCTGTACTGTTTGATCTACCTACTCCCAATCTGTACTGTTTGATCTTCTCCCAATCTGTACTGTTTGATCTTCTCTCAATCTGTACTGTTTGATCTCTCAATCTGTAATGTTTGATCTTCTCTCAATCTGTACTGTTTGATCTTCTCTCAATCTGTACTATTTGATCTTCTCTCAATCTGTACTGTTTGATCTTCTCCCAATCTGTACTGTTTGATCTTCTCTCAATCTGTACTGTTTGATCTTCTCCCAATCTGTACTGTTTGAGCTTCTCCCAATCTGTACTGTTTGATCTTCTTTCAGTCTGTACTGTTTGATCTTCTCTCAATCTGTAATGTTTGATCTTCTCCCAATCTGTACTGTTTGATCTTCTCTCAATCTGTACTGTTTGATCTTCTCTCAATCTGTACTGTTTGATCTTCTCTCAATCTGTAATGTTTGATCTTCTCTCAATCTGTACTGTTTGATCTTCTCTCAATCTGTACTATTTGATCTTCTCTCAATCTGTACTGTTTGATCTTCTCCCAATCTGTACTGTTTGATCTTCTCTCAATCTGTACTGTTTGATCTTCTCCCAATCTGTAATGTTTGATCTTCTCCTAATCTGTACTGTTTGATCTTCTTTCAGTCTGTACTGTTTGATCTTCTCCCAATCTGTAATGTTTGATCTTCTCCCAATCTGTACTGTTTGATCTTCTCTCAATCTGTACTGTTTGATCTTAAACCAATCTGTACTTTGTGATCTTCTCTCAATCTGTACTGTTTGATCTTCTCCCAATCTGTACTTTTCAATGGACATTTAAGTTTGATTACTGTTAATTCATTTTCTTCATTTTCGTTTCATGACTGTTACATCTTTTGTTCATTTTTAGTTCTTTGTGAGTCCCAGGCTGATCCCGACCCTAGTTACTACCTTCAGAATGTCAGTGGTGCTCTCTTACGGCGCCGCTGTGCACCGGGGACCCACTACGATGCTGGCTCCTGTGGCTGTTCTATCCTGGTTACCATCAGTCCATCAGCAGGTTCTCTTATCTCGTTAAATAGATATCTTAATTTACGAAATGTTTTCAAAAGTACATAATAATTTACTTGCTCCTTCTATGTACAAAGGAAAAATTTACCATGCCATTCAGACTACAGTGATAGTGTTGACCAGCCTCGTTTTCAATTATAACATTTTTTTTTTAGTCTGCTCCCCTATGCTTTACCACTCTCAGTCCGACCCTTACTTTTATGATGCTACAAACATAATTCCAGTCGGAATGGTCAACGTCGCCATAACTACAGGGTCGCTTGGATTTGGCGGAAATGGCGAAATCAACATTTGGCGCCTGGCAAACCAAGATTTTCAAGACGTTCTTGTTGTCCGGTTTGAGCTGACAGTAGGGACGTCAGCCATTCCAAGGACAGAGCAGGTGCTCGTGAATTGTCTTCACTCCAATGGCGCGATGACGCCGGCATCTGTGGATATTCAGGTGATCAAGACCTCCACCGCGACTCAGTTAGTGTACACCCTCAGAGCCGGGGGCACGTCCAAAACGCTGACCTCCCCAGTCACGGTAAGTTGAAAATCAGCAAATACCTAATAAAAATTAACGTTACGACTTTCTTAGTAGAAAGTGACATTATATGTTTAGTAAATGATTCGGTTGGTTATTCTGAAAGTTAATCATAATTGTTCATATTCATTATAAACTTTAATTAACTATTGTACTGTAGCCTGGGGTTGCTACAGAAGTGATATATGCTTACGATGGGTCAACATTCGCCGTGTACTCGGGGCCTGGGACCGAATCCTCCACGAATCTCAGAGGTTGGTTGTGTTCAGAGTATTTACCTCTCTGAATCCTTTTTTATAAAAATAAAAAAAGTGATAGTGAGGTGCCATAGTATGGGAAGATATTTGAGCAAAGTTCTTTGAATTTGGAGAATCAAATAAAGCCTTTGTAATTAAAAAAATATATATATATAATTTTGAATGTCTTAGTGAAAGTTTAAGGTGAATGATTTAATTCATTAGGTAACGTTGAGAGACGACAAAGCGGCTTTTTATTAGGAAGACCAGCAGCAGCTTCAGGATCTATAAATAGATTGTCAGGAACTATAGCAAAGGTAAGAGTCAAATGAAACTTAGAGGGGTATTTTGAAGATATTCAAATAAATTTCATAAAAAATTGAAATGATACGGTTGACAGAATGAAGAATTTCTCTGACCTTGAAAAAAAAATCTTGTCAGTTCGTTTAGCAAAACAAAGCCTTCTAGGCCAAAGAAAACGTAGCTGTGTGAATCATACAACATTGACTTTAATGATAATAAAAATAAATAAAAAATCTTTACATTTATCCAGTTTGAGGTATACAACTGTGTGAGCGACTACGTCAAGAACGTGCTAGTTTCCATGTGATTATGTTGTGAATCTGTCAACTGCCGTGTGATTGGTTAATATGGAACAGTCAAGATGACTGGGTCATCAAAGTCATGTGATCATCGTAGAACTACATCATTACATCCAAGATACATTTTGAATATTAACATTTTGATTGGACGATTGATAATTCACATCAACCTCTGTTTGAAATATGTCTCTTTAAATTAAAATAAAAAACATGTTTATTGGTTTTGTTTTGTATAAGAGCTGTGTATTTTTTAAATAATAGTTAAGTTACAATTGTTTCATGTTATAGGATTCAATTAAAGATTTTTATTTATTGATTTATATTTCAATGTATTTGGGTCAACTTTTTGAGTGACTACAGATGCCTTGAGCTATAAAATTTCCATTATTGAGGATTGTGTTCATTATTGTTAGAAAGTAAAATTGGATATGCTTTCTTCGTATATTTATTCTTTGTATGTTTATCACAAAATAAAAATTCTGATGACTGATGAAAATCGGTATCAATCTTACTTGTCATTATTTAGAAAAAATACTTTATTAGTAAGAATTTTAATTATTTATATCGTTACTTGTTGATTTTGAATTATATCAAGTTTACATCGTAGAAAGAGAAATTAAATATTTAACGAAGAAGATCTCTGTAGTTTTGTGTTGATAACAGATTAGCCCGAGGACTTTAATTATCTGATAAGAATTGTATGGTTTCTTGTTTATTTGACAGAAAGGTTAACAAAGTGTACATTTTCCGACTATGATTAAAACTTTTTTTTAGAATCCCTTAACTGTTTGATATCAAACCCTAGTATTAATTTAGGTTTTAAAAAAAAAATTCAACTTTTCTTGCGCTCTTTAACCTTATAAATTTTGTATAATAAAATAAAAACTATGATTCCAAATAATCATTTTTCTAGGTTTTCTACAACATTATCAATATAAAATTTATGAAGAGGGTAATGCAAATGTAAAAATCACTCTTGGTATTCCTTCTGCAATGATCTTCAATTCGTCTTTTGTAAATCCTTGTTTTCACTAGGGACCTTTAACAAAAGAGAGCGACACAAATTTTAAATCTTTACTTATTTTGAATCTTTTACTTATTATTTTGATATGAGTTCTATGCACTCGATCACTTTTATACATTGTATTTTGCAATTTGTTTTAAAGTGAAAAATTAGTGAATAAGATTGGAAGGCAGAAACAATTTTAAGTTCTTTAAGATGTTTGTAAAAAAAAAAAAACTAGGTGCATGGCAACAAAAGAAAAGAAAGTCTAAGATCATATATTTAAACAAAATTGCGAAACAAGTCATTTATGCATACAGAAGAAGAGAGACAGTGTTTAAAATTGCCCATCCTAAACAATATGAATTTTTCGGATTTGGAGCTTTGAAACCCAGCTTTGCTTATATTGTTTGAAATGCCCTCCTAGCCCCCTGAAGATGATTTGCGCCGGACTCATCAACAGTGACCTACATCCTTCAATCAACTTTAACACTTAATCTTTTGCCTTAAATAATCCCTCCCTATACGTATATATTTATGAATTTTTAAGTGCCTAGAGGACTGGGACCCGTTTTACAAAAAAACTTACGTAAGACCAAAAATATATATAAAAGTTTGCAAAATTAATAATTTTCTCTGAAATTGTTTGTGTAAAAATATCTTACCACATTCCTTTTAAAAGGTTTAAAATAATTTTCGATATAATGTTAATTAAAAAGATATATGAAGAATTAAATTTGGTCTTAAAAGTCCTTTTGTAAAATTATTTTTAAAAAGAAATGTTTTTTTTAATGAAAACCTAAAAATAAATAAATAAATAAATGATTTGGAAGAAAACTGCCGCACAGGATTTGTGGCATCTGAAACAGGTTTTCGCCATTTTTAAAAAAAATATTCCTTGATTCTTTAGAATTTTAAACTGCAGGTATTCTTTCTTCTACGCGTTATTTTTCATCTATATACCCAGCATTACTTGAATAATCAGTGGGTCATGTAATTTGTCAAATCCACATGTAAATTTTTGCATAACAATTAAATCAGATAAACTTAAAGAATTGCCGAAAAGAATTTCTTGGTCACATCTGGGATTTGAAATCTCACTGCAGCGATTAGAGTCAGTTAGATTATAGACCTCAAAGACTACAGAGGAATAAAGAAAAGATCAGAGCAGTATGTCATTAAGATAGGGAATCAACAGTGAAGGTATGTATTTCTATATTCCATAAAATTAAAAATAAAAACGAACATTTATTATTACGGTAAATCGGTTCTATGATACACATGTACTTATATAAATGGATACAACATAATATCAAATGCATAACATTAATTTTTCTTAATATCAGGTTCAGTATGCAGTTTCCCGGGATATTTTTGTCTTTCATCACTATTATTTATAGTAACACAAAACTCATACAAGCAGGTAAGTTTATATTGAAAATTAACCATCTAGATCTGTGTTGAATTTGTTTTTTGATTCTGGAAAATTCGCAAACAAGAAAAAACCAAATAAGTATATACTACAGTTAAATTTGTCAAATCCGAATGTTGCATTTTCCGAAATCTTAAATATCACGATTTAAATTCAATAAATTAAAATGTTGGAACAATAATGGTGTCCGTATCAGACAAGTTTTACCGTTTATATATCTAATATTAGCAGAAGCCTTCTGTGATGGCCGGGTCAGTTTGGTCATCGCGATGGATTCCTCCTCTAGTCTGACCTCCATACAGTTCCTCCAGATTAAGAACTTCACAGCTAACGGTCTGGTGAAGCGGTTCATGTACCCACACACCATCGCCACGGTGGCATTCGCCGAGAACGTGGAAATTGTCACTGACTTTGGGGAGCTAAACAGCGATAAAATTATGATGTACAATTCTAACAGGAACTACCAGACCAGAATTGACTATGCTATCGGTGTGTATCTGTTTTTTACCATGTTTCTAATTCTTCCGATAGATTTTCAAGTCTTTCAAGAACTTTTGGAATTTTAAGTCCATTTGTTATCTTCGAAATCCAAAATCAGTACCCTCAACAAATATTACCTTTGTCCATTTCTTACAACCTTTCCCTTCGACAAATAAAAAAATGCTTGGCTCTTTGACATATGCAAATTCTTCTTTCGAATAGATCTCGGAATTTTTATACTGGTCGTCAACAAAATTGATCTGTTAATAACAACAGCTCAGACTCTACACACAAACATTGAATGAAAACTGCTTTTTCAGATTAGAATCCTTCTTCCCCTTAAAGGATATAAGAGATCCTTATTTACAAAATCTGTGAAGTCTTTAATTTCATAGTTGAAATTTCATTGGATACTGATTGTTCTCCTTTATAAGCCAACCTTGTTTTATGTCGCTGTGTAACAGAATTTATATAAAAGAAATCTACTTGAGAAGAGGAAAATCACTTGATGAAGCTTTCAGATAAAAGATAATTCTATTCCTGTGCCTATTTTATATATCCCAGTAAACTCGAAAGAAAAGACCAAATTTCATTCTTTTAATGACTACAGAAAGATTTTCTTTTCAATTTCAAAAGTCGATTCTTATTGTCTGGGTTTTTTTTTTTTTAGGAAACATGACGGACATGTTGTCTAGTAGTCCTTTTCTGGACCCAGATGTTCCGAAGGTCGCTCTAATTCTGACTGATGGGAAGAGCACGAGCGGCATCGAACTACTACACAGTGCCGCCATGTATGCCGATAGAAATAATGTATATGTGATGGCTGTCGGGGTGGGGGAGGAAAGGAACCTATCCCCAGCTGAATTGAATAACATGACTCATGGAATTCAAGTACATCAAAGAATCATCCCATACAAAGAACTCGCGAGTTCTCTCGACAAAGTGGTAGAGCAAATCTGCTACCGTAAGTTTAGACCTTACAATATATAAATAAGCTAACGAAATTATATGACGATTTCGGTCCTTTCCTTTACTTAACATCGATTAAAATGCAACGAGACTGAATAAAACATACATTTTTTCAGTTTCTCAAAATGGAGCCATGAGAACAGGAGGTAAGACGAAACAGCAAACAAACACATTCATATATAGTATGTGAACAAATTTGTTATTATAGCTTCGTGCAGTTCTATACTTTTTAAATAGAAATGAATCAAGATATTAGAAATGCAGGTTTTAGAATACTTGGATTTTCAATCTTTGAAAACGTTTAGGCTAATAGACTGTGTTTTTGTTTGTATTTTATCTCAGAAATTGTTTGTATTTTATCTCAGAAATCCGAGGACGTTATCTTCTCACTATTGTTTTTGACGTCACGATTCAGAGCCTCGATCTGACAAAGGAGTTCATTTCCCGACTCCTTGAATACATTGAGTTCGGTAACCCTTCGATGAATCTGATAATTGCAACACTAGCTGATGGAGCAGCGTCTATCGGGCGGTTCGATGAAACGGCCAGTTTAATTGAAGTTAGGAAGTTCCTAGACCACATGACTACTAGAGATCACGAGTATTTTGACGCGGTTTTGGCTTACAAGAAAGTAGAGAGCGACTTCCTGTATGCTCCAGGAGACTCCTCCAAGATGGCACTGTTTATTACGGACAAGCCACTACATAAGAGTGGCTTTGCTTATACGAGGGTTTTCTTGAATTCAAAATCAAAATCTAGCAACGTACAGATCATGTACCTTGGAATAGGCTCCGCTGTAAATCCGGATTTTAGTCTTGCTTTAGCTAGTTCTAAAGTCGCAAACAGAATCATTGTGTCTAACCAGTCACTTTTGTCAAGTGGACTGAACAATATTGTGAGAGCAATTGGTACAGGTAAGATTTGTTAGTAGAGTTAAATATTTAAAAATATAAATTCCACCGGTAATAATTTTCAGGTTCATTATCTGTTCATCTGATTGCACTTAACATGTAGATCCGACTTATTATATCATTTATTAATTTTTGATCATTTATCCTTTTCCTTTCAAACTACAGAATTGTTGAAATATCCAGTACCAAGTAAGTATGTTGAATTGCAGTCATTCTTTTAGATACATGAATATTGTAAATTATTATGACCTCCACTGAAGAATTTATTTTTGTTTATTTGATCCTCTGTTTTGTTTCAGGGAATGTCACTCATCGTGGTAAGGGATTAATAAATAAATACATATGCGTACTGTACTTTGTAATGACTTCCTGGACATGAGACTTTTGCATCACTTGATTACAACATTTGCATCTATAATTAAATGTAATATTTTTCAGTGTTTCATGGACCAGCAGAAATACTGATAGGGTATAGTCTCTGTCCACACTCATTTAACCCACAGAAATTCAACAAATATAATACCTTTCTGGAAAATGTGGTAAGAAACATTCATATGGGATCAGACAATGTCCAATTGACCCTTGCTACATACTGTACCGACGTGAACTACATCAGTAGCATCAAGGATTACCAAGTTACCTTCCATGTTCCATACGGTCTCCAGCGTGGGGGAGTGATTACCCAACTTCAGTGGACAACAGAAAACGTCATCAGGGAGGTTTTAAATGTGTATGACACTGTAGAATCTGACGTCAAGATTGCTATCGTCATCATTGCTGATCCATTCATGGAGGGAGATCTAGTGGGACTCTTGGAGGAGGCTAAACAAAATAATATTTTAATCATGCCTCTTGTGCTGTATCATGCAAATGCTTCTATCGACGGACTTAGGCAGAAAGTGGACACCATGAACACAGTGATACCGCCTTTATATATCTCCTGGTCGGAGCTTCAAACTCACGGTGCCGAACAAACTATGAATGTTTTGCGAAAATACTGTACGTTATTTTTAATAAATTGTCATTTTGTATTTGTCTTAAATGAAATGTATGATCTTTTAGGTACTCCGTTGAACTGTATTTTCTCAAAATTATTTCTTTTCAGTGATTGGGAGAAGGAAAGATATTCTCATCTCGGCATCAAGTATGGATCTCACGGATGACCTTCTGAAGAATTACCTGAAGCTTTACGTCAGAGAACTTCAGAACATAAATAACAAGGAAACTACTTCAAGTCTCGAGAGGAAGATCGTATCTGATATTCAACAACACAGACTTCGTGTATTGAATGATGACGTAAGGAATACACATGCCGGCCTTCATGGCATTCTGCTGAGCTTTCTTTATTCGGAAGATCTTTCTGAAAATAGAGTTGGATTCCTTTTAACAAAAGGACCATCATCTGATCCCAGCGCAACCCGCTCTGTAGCAAGACTTCTGAAGGATGCCAATGTTCATATGTTTGCTCTTGGTATATCAGAATTTCTACTAACATTTAATTCTAGAATATCTCTATATTTCATACGTATACCGTTATTATTACAAAAAAAAAAACAGTTGCATAGCTATCGCACATATATTTAGTGAAGGACCTGTATGGTTTTATAATTCTTCCTTACTATGAAATAACATATATTTCTGACATTTTTGCAGGATTTGGAGTAGACAGAACCAGAGACGAGGAATTAAAATTAATTACAGGAGACAACGAACATATTACAAAACTGTCGTCTGCAGCTGACATCATAGGGGCAATCTCGTCAGTTAAGAAAATAATGGGATCTGTCAGTAAGGTTTTTCCCACTGCCCCTTATTTTCGGTAAAGATATCGGAATGTATTTTATATCTACTCATAAACTCTCACATTTTGTTTTCAAATTAGATTTGGACTCGAAGAAGGCTACGCATATTTCTGTTGCTCTCGATTCTTCATTGAATGTGACAGATACAGATTTTAAAAATCTTAAGGTGATGATAAATATGTTCATCAAGTTGTGGTCCAGTGGGAGTAACTACTACCTGACATTTGGACAATACAATAGAGACTACAACCCAGAGTTTGTTCGTCAGCCTCTTAATCAAAACACATTGACAGAGGTCATGCAGCGTGTATACACACTCACACGCCAAAGCCCAAGTCAAACACTCTCACAAGATTCACTCCCACCCCGGAGACTTCCACTTCACCTAACGATAAGGAATCTGCATCAAAGAATGAAAGAATCCAAATCACAGAATAGATCGCAGGCAGTACTGATGATGTTTGACAAAGAACCAACTGATATATTGTTGACTGATATTGCCTTGCGAGAGGCTAGGTTAGATGGTGTTCACTTTATAACTATACCTATAGGAATTGACTCATATCCAGACACATTCACCTACAATCTTCCCCTTTATGCACTTGGAGATGTCGGTCCAGACGCAATGAATATTATAAACAACACAATAATGGCTGTCTTACCAAAAGGTAGGAAAACTGAATACATTTGATAATTTGATTTTGAATTGTTCAAAATTGAAAGTGATTGACTACTGATACAGATATTTAATGTTTGTAGGAAAATTTGACTTACTAATTGCCTTGGATGCAGATTCTATGGTTTCAAATGATGCAATGCATTGGATGAAAGTTGCTACCCAGTTCATTACGTCAGGAATGGCAGAACGATTTACCAAATACGGAGTTGTCACCTTTTCTGATATCATAAGAAATGTCATAGAATATACTGACTTCCAGAGTCAGATGTTGGTTTCTTATCTACGAAGTATTAATGCTTATACAAAACATCCGTCAATCCAGACAAAACCTAGCGTAATCATTAACAAGCTTCATAGCTTAATTGATACTACAATGTCAACGGCTGCAAAAATCGGTCTCATTTTAATGGATGACGACACGGATAATGACGTTGACTTGGAGTCGTCTGCTACGATGGCATGGTCAAAGGGTGTTAACTTGATGTCCATTGGTGTAGGTACACATACTGACAAGCTCGAATTGTCACACATCACTAAAGACAAGAATGATTATTACCTACAAATTGAAGACTGGGAGAATCTCGACACAGATGGATTTTCATGGGCAATACAAACATTCGAAAAAAGTCAGTTGATATATTGTACTCATTTTCTAAATTTAATCACAAATCGATCTCAATACTGTTCGTTATCTCCATATATTTCATTATAATGATCTCTTCAAAATTCTCTATTTTAGTGGAGCCGTTGCATTTATATATTACAAAGACGAATCCTGTAGTAACGACAGTTGCCTCAACGATATCCACACCGGACACGACAGTTATATTAGAGGGTATGATGTCATAGTTGAAAAATACTTAACTTCGATTTAAGTCATACTAAACACTGAATGACATTGTTATTGACATTGTATTTTTTCCTATAGAATGCACGGGTTTAGTTGACATTGCGTTTGCTATGGACGCTTCTGGAAGCCTGACAACAGAAATGTTCAACGCTATCAAGCTGACTGTTGCAAATACTGTAAGTAACATGAAGCTATCTGAAAATGACGTCAGAGTTCGCGGAGTTATCACGTTTGATGACGTTATCCAGGAGGTGGCAGAAGATGTCAGCAATAAGATTCTTCTACGGGAACTTATACTTGGGGCTGTCCACACTAAAGGAATGACAAAGATAGACTTAGCTATCAGAAGATTAACAGAATATCTTGAGTCAGGTAGATACAATTTCATGAACTTTTTAAGATTGGTTTGCACGAAAGGTTACCTGAAATATTTTTTTATTGAAAATGTTCGCATACTAGAGAATATATCAAATTGTTGCGTGTTTGTTAAAATATATTTATCACTTTATTTTCAAAAGAACCGAAAAGAAATGCCAGGAAAATTGGAGTTGTTATTACGGATGGAAAATCCATGAAGCCACAAAAAACCCGAGAAGCTGCTGCAGCTGCAGTAAAAAGCAACATCACAATGGTTGCCATGGGAATAGGGGGACCTACAGACATATCCTATACTGAACTCATGGATGTAGCCAATAATGTCACTGACAACTTCTTGTGGTTGAAAACCTTATCGTCGTTCTTACTGAACGGGACTCAAGTCCTGCACGAGAGGATATGCAGAGGTACGACATGTTCTGCAGACGCTTGATTTTAGGGAGATTTAATTCGTGTAACCATCAAAAAGTGTCAAATATTTAACTTGTGGTTTCCTTGCGCTTCTTTTTATTCTACTATTTAAACTACAATATGTATACACAGAGAACAAATGTAGAAAAAAAAGCTGAATTTTAATTTCGACATCTTTATTTGTATTCTCTCTAGTTACTGAAGGAAGGGATCTCTCCACGACCGCCATACCAACTGTAACAACAAAAGACCCTTACCATCCCGAAGGTAAACTTAAGAAAAACAGTAAATTTTTATTGGCAGCTCTAAATTGAATGGTTATTTTAAAGACTTTCTGTGCAAGAAATACAAGTGAAAAGTAATTTTAATCAAAATAGAGACATGTGAAGAATCAAAATTGAGGGTCTAATTTTCTTATAAGGTGACAACGATTGCTATTCTTTTGGAATAAGTAGAATCCATTTTTTTTTTATCATATTTCATTTAATGCGTTCATCTGCAATCTACAATGTATATCACTCTTATCATTTTAATTAACATAATCAGGACATTTGTCGGTGTTTGTAAGATTCTTCGGTACAAATTCTTCCTTTTTTGTGCATTAGCATTTTGTGGTTAAAATATGATGGGAATAATTTGAATCACTTGTTGACAGTGTTTGTAACATTACCTTTTACAAATGAACGTTATGCATGCTATTTTTGCAGAACTGTGTGCAAGGTGCCAGTGTGTTGGTAGAGTGATTATTCCTGACCCACTGGACTGCAGTAGATACCATATCTGTATAGATTCTAGACTTGATACATCTGAACATTGTGATCCAAATAAATTCTGGGACCCTAATACAAAAACGTGCTTGCCACCCATGACTGCCAACTGTCAATATGGTATGTCACTCCAATAAGTCCCTTCTAAAGGGGGTGAGCCCTTTTTAAGTTGATTATCGTTAAAAACTTAAAATAAATGCAAGTACGGATCAAATTAAGTCAATTATGTCCAAATAGACTGAATTATTTAGGAGATTTTGATACTGGTGATCATATCTAAGTTTTTTTTGTCCTTTTTTAATAGACCCCTGTTATTTACGGCCTGATGGGTATAACTACACCACCATCAGGTTGTTAGATGAGAACCGATGCGACCAGTTCTACACATGTCTAAATGGACGCACCAAGAAGTTGTGCACTTGTGGAGAAAGGCTTGAAGGAAACTTTCTTATTCACAGGAAGTATGATCCACTTTCGGATCATTGTGTAGATGACACGAAAGGAGAGTGCTTCACTCTCATCAACCTAAATGACCAGAAGGTTACCAAGCCCGGTAATTTACTGAAATCCTTGTTTTGGTCAGAACAATCTTATTTTTAATAAGATATTGAATAATTTCATAAGATTTAAATGATTTAAAATTGCCAACACATGCACAACTCTACATGATTTACTTTAAGACTACCTTTCACATTCAGATACATGGGTGTGTAATACGAGGCCTGCGTTATCCAAAGAAAGTTACATTAACATCAGAACAAACGAGGAATTGAAGTGCCCTACAAACTATATTTATAGCCACGAGAAGTGTCGGTGCGTGGTGGATATTATTGAAGGTATTATATCTAACAAACTTTGATTCAGCAAATCTTTAATTTTCATTGCTATAGTAAAAGTATGATGTATTATTTTATATTTTTTGCCAATATCTCCGATGGCATTATTGATATTTTTGTCAGTGAAAACAGACACCTGTAAAGCAGACATAGATCTCCAATTTAATACTCGATCCATCCAGCTGTGGAATGTAACCCTGAAGGACGGACAGGGAGTGTTCGATGGAAAAACCACCATGGTGTCTATAAGAAACATGGCTAATCATTATGCTCATGACTTTGCGGTCAAGGTTTCAATGAAAACGCCCGAATACAAGGATATGCTTTTGTTTGAAAATTCCAATTGTCAAGAAACAGACCTTCCAAGTATAAGAGTGCACTTAAAGAAAATAAATGGGCTCTTGGGAGTGGTAGCAGAAATAAAGACGGCTCATGGATACGTCAAATTACAACTACAATCTACGGTAAAAAAAATTAAAAATTTATTCATTTTATTTGATTTTTAATATAACAAAAACTACTAGGCTCGTTAAAAAAGCAATGCAAATAGAGTATCTAAAAAAATGAATGAAAGAAAGAAAGAAAAAGAAAAAAACATGAGAAGAAATATCTTAATTTTTTTAATTCTTCAACGTATTCCCTTTTCAACTTTATCAGTAAGTCTTTATACCCAAAACAAAAACAACACACCATACTCATCTTTAGGGATCCTCAAAAATACTGATACTGACACTGATGATAGCACTCTCCATGACACATGAAATTGTAGATCGTTCCATTGATTGTTTTCTTGCGATTTTGAAGTGAAAAGACATTGGAATTGACGAAGAGCTGGCGGTACGGGGAATGCCAGCTATGTACTCGTTCCTTCAAAATATCTCTAATTTCTCTTTGCTTTGGAAAATTACCCTGGTGACCGGTATTTAGACTTTTCTTACAGAAAACCTGCTTCACTTTCTTAAGTGAAATTTAACAGAATAATAACCTTTGATGGTTCACCATATATCACTGGAACTCTTGCGTAAAAAAAAAAACGTATGTCATGTTTTAGGCGTTTACTTCTCTTTGCAAAAATATGAAGACAGTTTTTCTTTCTGATTCCCAATTTTGATATTGATCCTCCTTTTGGGCTAAAAAAAACTTTTCGTTATCCAGTAAAAAATTATCTTTTGTTAAATATCTTATTTTAAAAATGATAAAACATTGGCACGTTTAGCGACTTTTATCTTCTAGATGTCTTTTTTGAAAAGAAACATGGAGACAAAAATAATACATGTAATACATTATTGTAGTATTGTGTCCTGCTTTATCAGCTCGGACCAATGCATACTGATCGTGTAATCTATCCAATTTTTTTTTCAGTTCTGAATTATTGAACTACAATCTACGGTAAAAAAAAATCAAAAATTGATTCATTTTATTTGATTTTTATTATAACAAAAACTACTAGGCTCGTTAAGTAAGCAATGCAAATAGAGTATCTAAAAAAAAAATGAATGAAAGAAAGAAAGAAAAAGAAAAAACATGAGAAGAAATATCTTAATTTTTTTAATTCTTCAACGTATTCCCTTTTCAACTTTATCAGTAAGTCTTTATACCCAAAACAAAAACAACACATCATACTCATCTTTAGGGATCCTCAAAAATACTGATACTGACACTGATGTTAGCACTCTCCTTGACACATGAAATTGTAGATCGTTCCATTGATTGTTTTCTTGCGATTTTGAAGTGAAAAGACATTGGAATTGACGAAGAGCTGGCGATACGGGGAATGCCAGCTATGTACTCGTTCCTTCAAAATATCTCTAATTTCTCTTTGCTTTGGAAAATTACCCTGGTGACCGGTATTTAGACTTTTCTTACAGAAAACCTGCTTCACTTTCTTAAGTGAAATTTAACGGAATAATTACCTTTGATGGTGTATCATCATTATACCTCTGGAACTCTTGCGTAAAAAAAATCCGTATGTCATGTTTTAGGCCTTTGCTTCTCTGTGCAAAAATATGAAGTCAGTTTTTCTATCTGATTCCTAATTATGTTCCCCAAACGAAGTTGGGGAACATATTGTTTTTACTCTGTTTCTTATTATTATTATGTTCCCCAAACGAAGTTGGGGAACATATTGTTTTTACTCTGTTTCTTATTATTATTAAGGTCTTCCGTCTTCACGGAAGACCTTATAGTGATTCTACTGTTTCTTATTATTCTTATTATTATTATTTTTTTTGACAAAATTTTGTGCAGGCGATTTCTCGAAAACTATTCAGTGGTTTTTCATGAAACTTTCACAAAATATGCGTCATTATATGAAGTTGTTACATCCGTAGAGTAATTTGGAAAATTCACTTCTGGTGCCAAGTTATGGACAATTTCCTGATTTTAAAATGCGATTTTGTCGCGCACTTTTATCAAAAATGGCTAAGGAAATGAACTGGAGACTTATTGGAGATGATAGATCATGACTTTGTGGATTGCAGAATCGCCTTTTCGTGCGTCGTCAGTACTTCCGGTCGTTACGAGATGCAAATTAAAAAAAATCGTATTTTCTTACTTTTTTGTTTTTCAGTATTTTTCATTTTTATTTGGTATGGTAATAGAAGCCCTCCTTATAATGCTTACTATTTAATTTGTTTGAATGTTGATAAATCTAAAGTCTAGATATTTGCATTCAAAAATCTGAAGCGGGTCCAAAATGGCGGCTGTCTCTGTCAACTCCGCCATTTCGCGAGTAGGGGTTTATGGAGGCAGCTGAGCGTTTGATTAAACCATTCTGACATAAGGATACATGAAATGTAAAAAACTACTTCGACTCTCACGTAGTAGTGAAATGGTTGGAGGAGTTACCTCCCGATACTTGTTTATATTATAATAGATAATCGATGTAAATATTGTAATTAATTGGTCAATTGACTAAAGAATTATACAAGTATTATTGATACATGATGTTTTGTTAGAAAATAATAATAGTGTTGCCAAAAGAAAGACAGTCTGTTTTATTTTATCAATATGATATCTGATAACTTATGATCATTGATTAAGTTGAGGTACAAGGGGGCAGTACAGCCAACTGGCTTGTGTCTTCACTTTGGTACAGAAACCAATTGGGTTATCGCTCAAATAGGATTGTGCAAAGTTGCCGTAGTCAGTGACTAGTTAAAATGTAGCTGTGTGACATTAGCTATAGCGTTATCATTAGGACAGAGAAGCTCTTACAAAGTTTAATCATACTGTGTAAGTATATTGTAGCCACTTGGCTAGAGTTATATAGGCAACTTGGTAAGCATAACACCAGGCAGATGTTAAAGGCTAAATCAAGAGGCACCAGGCAGATAGAATGATGTTGACTTATATAGTCAGTTGTACGAGTATAGTGAGGCAATTATCATATGGCACCAGGCAGGTACCGGTATTAACTGAAGATATATAATTATACAAAGCACTTAGGTCATTTGATTTAAAGACACCAGACAGGTGTCATATTATTATCTGTATTTATTACATACAATCATATCCCCAGTAAAACTCGGTAATCCGAGCAAGGACCTACTGACCGCTCAGATCCGACACGTTACAGTAGTACGTTGCAATTTAGTGTCAATCTTAAAACTTAATTTCCGTTTCACTGCTTTAGTGTAACTGGGCTAGATACGATATGTAATGTGTATAATGTGTTACATATACTTTCTTAACGTCAAAATAAAATAAAGGCGCTAAGAATGTTTTATTTTTAAAATTTAATTGATGCTATCATACCTATCAAATGTATCAGTCCAAAGAAAAGGCGCAAATATTTACTCGTGGCGTTTGGCGCGAAATTATGAATGCTTTTTATAATTCTTAGACAGGTGAACTGTTGCAAAAGTACCGTGGTATACACAAGTATATTTAGAGCAATACTCCCAATAGCTTAATGGTTAGCGCGTTGGGGATATAAAAGTAAAAAAAAAGCGCATCTACGTTGGCGACATGGTTTCAATCCTCCTTGTGACCAAAATTTTGAATCTCTTTTCAGCTCGATTTTCGTGGGTTTCTTTTCCTAAAACGGACGGAAGACCTCTCGTTGCTCGCAACGAGGTCGTATCTAGTTATTATTATTATTATTATTTTTCTTCTTCTTCTTCCTGGGTACTTTTTTGTCCGGGAATGATCTTGTAAACTGTTCGTCCGAGGTAGGTAAAACCTTTTTAGGGTAAGTAGACATGTTATGCAGATTTGCGGAATCAAGGTCATTTTGCGCGCACGTGCTTGCAAGAGCGCGCACGTGCAACACTTGAAATAACCAATATAATAGATATAGTCGGAACTTTTCTATTTTTTGATAAAATGCTTTGAAACTCATAATGTAAGGATACATTAGTAGTATAGACAAGATGGCATGGTCAAAATAGCAAGATCTCACGCGCATGCACGTGCGCTTCGCTCTGATTGGCTGAAACTAAAGTCTCAATATCTTTCTTGTTTCTTGTCATAATCTTTTGAAATTTTGAACATGGTCCTACATTATGAAGATCTACAGCAAGATATATTAAAATTTTAATAAAAACATGCGCATGCGCGCGTGCTGTAATCTGATTGGCTAAAACTTTAAATGCTATATCTCCTTTGTTTTTTGACGAAATGCTTTGAAATTTAAAACATAGTCATGCATTACGATATCCTAAAATATGATATAGAAAATATTCATGAAATCACGCGCATGCACGTGTGCTGCAATCTGATTGGCTGAAACTTCAAATGGCTATAACTCTCTTGTTTTTCAACCAAACAGGATGGGATTTAGAACTTGGATAAATATAAGGGACTCCTACAAGTAGGTGTAGTCATTATGCACGTGCTTGCACGTGCGTGCACGTGAAGTGAGTAAAATAAAAAATACACTGGAATGAGTGCATTTTTTAATACTTTTGGATTAAATGCTTTGATATTATTAAAATTTTAGATAGTGTAGACAAGATAATATGGTTGTTACGCACATGAACACGCGTGCAATGCCTATTTTTTTAATATATTTTGTATTTTTCTTGGAAGACCTTGATTAAGTCTAAATTCCATAAAGTATTTCTTATTTAATAGAGATAACAGGGAATATGGCACCAAAAGGGAGTTGGGGAGCGTTTGGGGAACATCTGTAACGGTCCCCGTTACAATTAGCACTAGTTATGTGGCCCCGAACGAAGTCGGGGACGACATATTGATATTGTACGCATGTTTTTTTTATCCAGGCTGTTTCTCGGAGATGGCTGGGACAATCTTCCTGAAACTTTCCTCAAAGGACGATCACTGGTTGTAGTTGTGCAGTGAGGTCGTTCAGTTCCAATATGTCTACCGTTGCCATGGAAACCTGTAAAAAGCGACAAATTTTGTCCGAGAGTGTTCTCTCTGGTCCCTTAAACGTTCGTCATGAAACTTTTCTTATTTTATGGATTAGTATCTGTAGTTCTGCAACTCGTATTTAAAATTT